TAGATTAATTATGTTTAATGTATGTGTTAGTGGGGTGGCCTGCACTATAAGTACTCTATAAATCTCGTTGTGGTCACTTATATCAAAGAATCTCCAAATCTTGTGGAAAAAAACTTGTCAAAATGAAGATGTATCCTGGCTTATTCCACCAGTTTATCTCCCAAAAATCTGAGTTGAGTACTTTTCCTTCTGGTGACAATGAAAAATGCCATGGGGTGTCTCTTTGTGCTACTGAAACAGCTGTCTTCAAGGTACTACCAACTTCAAGCCATTAGAAATGTCAGTGTTGTTCTGGTGGTTTTTTTGGACTAGACAGAGCATTAATTCTGTGGTTGCTGTCAGATTCCAATTTGCATATTGTGATCTGCCTACCTAAATTCCTACCATGGTTTCAATTGGATATTTTTCTCTTCTGACTGTAAATGGGTTGTATAGTACTGCTCTTTTCTGTTAGCCACCTGTTATCTTTCACCAAAGATAGCTGCGTTCTTGTGACTTGGTAGAGCAGAGATTTGTTTAATTTAAATACATTACAGTCTTTCTACTAAAATCTGACTTCCTCACTTCTTAAACATTTAATAGGGATAGTGTGATTTTTGATTCCTGGTGCTATCATCAGGAGTTGCTGCTTCCATTTTTAGCACTGAGGAGATAAAATGGGTGAGTGGAGAAAATCATGCTTTATAATAAGTAAGGACTTAGTGTAAGTTTTATATCAAAGGCAATTAAAGTAAATGAAGTTTGATGTCTCCTCCACAATGTCATTTAACTATTACATCTCCTCTTAAAGCAAAACACTTTTTGTGGGAGAGATCTGCAGTAAAGAACAACTCATAGAAGACTTGTGAATTTTTGCATAACATTAAATACTGCAATAACACTGCAGACAAATGTAGTAAATAGCTCTGCTTTTACAATCCAGTATTTCATTACATGCTATGGCTAAGAATACTGAAGCAAAATAGTGCAGATACTTTCAGGAGCAGTAAACTCTTAAGCACTAGACCTAAATCAATGATGGTAAATTGTCAGGCAATGCTTAAGTCACACAAAATGCTTATCCAGGGCGTTAGGTGCCCCTGCTGTAAGTGAAAGAAACGTTAATGCAGACAAACCAACCTGTCAACTTTCCCAGTTAGAAAAAGTACCAGCCCTTTCCCAAATGTGAGGATAGCTGCGATTTGTAGCATGTCATGAAGGCCAACAGATGTGGGCTATTTCTGATCAAGAGGCTGGGAAGAGAATTCCAAAGTTCAGGGCTCATTACGGAAAACATCCTGCTAGGCGCTCCGATTTAAACCAAGAAGACTGGCTTTCAAGTGCTTCTGCATACCATAACTATGGCAATAGTGAGGCATGTTTCTCAGCTAGGCAGGTTCAAAGCCATTTTGGATATGTCTACATTGCAGCTGGGAACATGCCTCCCAGCGTGGGCAGACAGACTTATGCTATCTCTGCTCAATCTAGTGCACTAAAAATAGCATTGTAGTGTGTGGGTGGTGGCTTCGGCTAGCTGCCAGAGTCCAAGCCCATCTTAGCTCAGGTGGCTAGCTGGAACCACTGTCTTTTCCACAATAATCATTCTGCTAGTTTTAGCATGCTAGTGTGAGTCTGTCTACCAGGGCTGAGAGGCAGACTCACAGTTGCAGTGTAGACATAACCTTAGGGCTTTGTCAGGATAGATCATGGTGCATTGGTTTCATATGATCCTGCAAGGAACTCCTTTTAATGAGTTGCTTCGGTTTCCTAAAAGAATTAAGTGCCACAGTAGTCTAATCTTGAGGTAGAAGCATGGCTCACTGTAGCACTGTTAATATCTAAGAAATATTTGCAACCTATCACTTTTGAGGTAGATGGAGAAAGCTATATTTCTCACTACCCCCATCTCCTTTCACTTGTGTTAACAGATAAATATGAGTGCTCAGTTGCTATATCTGTTGCAAAATCTTTGTTGTAGAATTTCATACTCTGCTTAGAGTAGCTTAAAATAATCGGTTACTTTAGGGAAGGACAATATTTGAACTTGTAAGGCAATGGCTTATCAAGACAATCTGGTGCAGGAGCTACACTTCAGCAACAGAGGTGCTGGGAACCTCTAGCACAAGCATTGCAATGTCATAAAGTCCTGAAATGTGCTACCTTGTTTGTCTGAACACTTTTCCCTCTTTTTCTTCAGCCTGGTGAATTCATACACACATTAGGAGATGCTCATATATATCTGAATCATGTTGAACCTTTGAAAATTCAAGTAAGTATCCATGGTGACTGGAGCCTGGCTGTCTTTTTGATATACATCTACCACAACTGGTTACTAATGGCATTTTGGGCTGTGTAAGTAGGAGCATTGCCAGCAGATCGAGGGACATGATCATTCCCCTCTATTTGACATTGGTCAGGCCTCATCTGGAGTACTGTGTCCAATTTTGGGCCCCACACTCAAGAAAGATGTGGAAAAATTGAAAAGATTCCAGCAGAGGGCAACAAAAATATTAGAAGACTGGAACACATGACTTATGAGGAGAGGCTGAGGGAACTGGGATTGTTTAGTCTGCAGAAGAGAAGAATGAGGGGGGATTTGATAGCTGCTTTCAACTACCTGAAAGGGGGTTCCAAAGAGGATGGCTCTAGACTGTTCTCAGTGGTACCAGCTGACAGAACAAGAAGTAATGGTCTCAAGTTGCAGTGGGAGAGGTTTAGATTGGATGTTAGGGAACTTTTTCACTAGGAGGGTGGTGAAGCACTGGAATGGGTTACCTAGGGAGGTGGTGGAATCTCCCTCCTTAGAGGTTTTTAAGGTCAGGCTTGATAAATTTAGTTGGGGATTGGTCCCGCTTTGAGCAGGGGGTTGGACTAGATGACCTCCTGAGGTCCCTTCCAATCCTGGTATTCTATTAACTCATAGTAATCCTGCGTTTTTAGATCTGGTACTGTGGAGACCTTTCATTGTAAATACTATCTTAATTTGCATGGCTGATCCTCTGATTTCTTCTCCAATACTCCCCTTTACCTGGGGTCAACTCTGGTTACAAGTGAAAACACTAGAATTTTGACTGAATTGTACATTAATTTGGACCAAAAGAGTGGTTATCACTCTGCAAGTCAAAGATACAAGAATTTGTACTCTAATCTTTATCATTGTTACAAAATATTAGTGTCCTTATACTTGTCTTATCAACATAACTGTAACTAACTGACTAAATGAATAAAGTGCACTTTGATGCATTATCCTTACTTACGTATATATAGTCAGTTTGCAAACCAGTAATTTTTAGTGGGTATTCTGCTGAATAAGGCTCTACAGTACTTTTTTTGGGTCTCTGACAGACTTGTTCACTTCATATCAATCTTTCCACCTTCGTCACACAAATATCTACATACTATGACGACTGAGAATGTTATGGCAGGTGAGGTCTACCTAACCAAAAGAGCTGTCTAAGTATTTGGTTTTCACTATGCACTGTTCTTTACATTTTGTACAAGATTAGCACTCAAAAGTAAGTCAAACTCTCTTTAATTTCAGCTTCAGAGGGAACTACGTCCTTTCCCAAAACTCAAGATTCTTCGTAAAATTGAAAACATCAGTGACTTCAAAGCAGATGACTTTCAGCTTGAAGACTATAACCCACATCCAGCTATTAAAATGGAGATGGCTATTTAATGCACTTAACTTTTTAAACATGATATGAGTCTGTTTCATAAGTATGTTACCTTGTCAATACTTAAGCTCAATGTGATGCTCTTAAATGTTGCTAAAACAGTTACATCACTTTGAAAGGGGTCCTGACCTAAAAGATGGACTGTTCATAGCTGTTAACCTGCTTCTGAAGTATCTAATGAAAAATGTATGTTAATGAAAGTGGCTTGCCTTTGTGCAGGTGGTCTCATTGAACCAAATCTTGGTGTAAAAGAAAAAATTAGCACCGTTTACTAGCCAGTGTTTGAGTACAGAGGTCTCCGTTGGAAGGTGACTCTGGGTTGTACATTTCTACTGTCTATAAATCATTCATGAATTGGCTGGAGCCCCCCTAAGTTGTTACTGGGTTTAAGTTAATATTTCAAGCTTTTCCTTGCTCTACACTGTAGCCTGAGTAGTGACTAGTGAGAAGTATTAGCCTTGTTCTGAATTAGTTACTTACCCTTATGCATTAGTAAGTATTTAAACAAAACAGGTGTTATAGCAGTGGATTTTTTTTAAGCTGGAGAAGAATGTTTAATAAACTTTCCAAACAACATTGAAAATGTTTATACGAAAGTGTATTGTATCTAAGGCCTGGTACTGAATTTGTGCTTGTAACACTAATATCAAGAAGATCAAAGTAACTTTCAGAGGATTTTGAGATTTCAAAGTTTTGGCTTTGCTCAATTTCAGAACAAAAATCAAAACATGAACTCTCCTAATTGGAATGGGGGCTGTAGTACTTGGAGTATACTGAAGCTGTGGCCTGTAGGCTCCCAAGTGCTCTACTCTCCCTCAGTAGGCTGCTAAGGCAGTGGGCAGGTAAGCAAGTTGTCAAGAAGCCAGGCAGGCTTCCTACAGAAGTTTGTTGGACACTGATTTCAAAACATTTCAATTTTGATGAATCAGCAAATGTCTAGTCACAAGTCTTGCTACAACTAAAGCATAACACCTAGTTTTATCAACTCTACCCCTGCTGCAGGATACTGGTGACATCAGTACCAGTTCTGGTCCTTTCATAATGCTGCCCATCTTACCAAGCCATGGTAGTTTATGTACACAGAGGGTGGTTGAGTAAGTTTGGGCCTTAAAGAAAATATGAAAGTTTTTAAACACCCAATCAATGGAACAACTCTGAATAGCTCTATGCCTAACATGCATACCTGAAGAAGTGGTTTTTTATCCATGAAAGCTTATACCCAAATAAATTGGTTAGTCTTTAAGATGCCACTGGACTTGTTTCTATACCTAACTGTACACTCAACAGCTTTTAGTTCCACAACATAACCAGTATGAAGTTTTGTATAGGATTAAGACAAGAGCAGACAGTAAAGAATTTTATTTTAAATCTCCAAATTCAAATACTTTAGTATATTGTGAGAAAATCCACTGGAACAATTTACCAAGGGTCATGTTGGATGCTCCAACGCTGGCTATTTTTAAAAGAAGAGTGGATGTGTGTGATAGTTCAAAAAATTATTTTGGGGAAATTTTAATGCTTGTCATGCAGGAGGTCAGATTAGGTGATTACAGTGGTCCCTTTTGCCCTTGGAATCTATGAAAACAGATACTGCAGAGTTACTGAGTTCTAGACTAGTTTTAGAAATGAAGTTCATTGCCTATCCATTAGTTACACTAAAGTATAACAACTTTGCTGGATTATAGGCCTCAGTCATTTCTTTAAACAGCCTGGACTATGTGTTATGTTAATTCCTGAAGGTTTTTGCCTGGTGACACAAAAGCATTTACTGGCAGCTGAAATCTTGTATCATCACCTAACAATAGGGCATGAACAGCTTGGGAAATTTAATCTTCTGCCTGAAAACTGTCAGGGTTAGACTTAATGCAGTAGTACTTTATGGCTTAGAAAGGAGCTTCTGCCAAATTTCTCCCTGAGGAAACTGGAATTTCCTTACAGAATCTTCTTTCATTTCAGTGGAATATCCAGCATCCTACAAGATTAAAAAAAAGTTGCCATTTAGAAAGTGATACTAGATCTAGTCCCCTCTTCATTCAAGTAACTTAACTGCTGTCATGCAACTGGAGAATAATAATTGTAATCTCTGTGCTGCTGGGGATCATGCCAGGCTAATTTGTAATACAGAAGGTATCAGCTGTAACTAGTGTTCATCTCCTAACACCTGATGCAAATGTTAAATGGAAAACTAGAGTTCTAAAGTCTGGGCTGAACAGAATTGTAGTTAAGCAATCTTTAGTTTTGGAATACGAGTTTCAGTGAAAAACTGAGAATGTTTTAAAGTGTCTCCAGTGAATTATTCTCCCTCATGCCCTCTTCTCCAGCTGAACAGAGAAGTTTAAGTATTAATACTTTTACCTAAGTTGGTTAGCCCAGCAATGCGGATATATTAAACATCGGTAACTAAAGAATTGCTTTGGGTTGAGGTTTTAGGCCAGGGTCACACCACTTCCTGAAGCATGTGTGCTGGAATGTATACCTTTCATTTCAACAGTTCTGAACTGCCAAACCTATGCTATCGTTTAGTCTAATAGCACCTCTCCAACTTTTTTTCATTCTGCAGATGACTGTAAAAGGAGTCTTTCACAAGCAATCTTTGTTTTAAACTGCTTGTAATTAAAATGCTTTCTTTACAAGGCCACTTAAGTACAGTGGATACTCTCATAGCATACCTGAGGTGGTACATAGGAAGCTTTCTGGATTACAACAGGATATTTGAAGTGTTCATGCAAATGATCTACATACTCGCACATCCTGCAAGAAAGAGGAGGGATGGTTTTCAGTTTTACCTAATCGTGTACTTATTCATGGCTATTATCCCTGACAAAGAAACAAGGCTGGGGTAAAAGTTAGACGGATATTTGTATCCCAATTATCAAAATTAGGAGGCTTCGTTTTAGAAGCAGAAACTACTGCTAGACAGTGTTCCATATTGATCAACTAGAATCTGTTTGGCATTTTAGCTTAGTGAGGACTGGTGGTCTCAATAAAACAAGCCAGATCAAGAACACAGGGCAGAAGATGGGCCCTTTGGGCAGTATGTAGGGTTAGGAGAGCAAGATTCAAACTTCCTTTTTCAATACAGACAGAGATTAGTAAACTTATATAGAAGAGAAGAGCTTTGTTTACTGATTGGAAAATCCACAAAGTACCACAAAAGCTTGTGCTATGCTAGCCAATGTGGATACAGAATGTATGCATCTAACATGGGTATTTAAAGGGTATAAACAAGACTATTTTCTGCAGCAAGGGAAATCACTAACGAGGGCAGCTGAAGGGCTGGGTCTGCTCCTCAGTTTATGAATTACCAAGAACACTTCTGTGGCTGTAGACCAGCAAAATTTACCAAACAAGGTCTATATATTAAAGGCAATTTTAAATATACTGCTCCAGAGACAAGGAAGATCAAAACAAGAGGAATGGTTTATGATTCAGCTGATTTTAAATGTGAGCAAAAGATGAAGCTACAATATTTGACTTTAATATTTACAAAACAACTAGTGCAAAGAACAGGAATATACAGCCAACAGGAGAGTTTCAGGAAATTTGTTTGCAATAATGTGAAAAAATTGTTCATTGCATTCAAAGAAGGCTAATACAATCCGAAGCTGATATTAAACAAGACAAGGGAAGTTGTTAGATCCTTTTGGGAAGCTACACGTAGAACGCTATTCAACTTAGAGCAGGGAGTTAATCCTTTGGTCACGAATGTGTTGGCCAGGGGTTGTAGGTGTGAGAGAGAGGTGCCAAAATATAGTTCCAAGAGTATAAAACAGTGTTTGTCAAAAATATTCCTGGCTCTTTGCCAGGCAATTGCCAGAGTGAAGTTCACACACTTCTGACTGGTTTAAAATTCTCTGGGAGAGCCACAGGGAGGTGAGTGGGTGGGTGTTGTTTTTGTTTACTGGTTCTTATTGCATGTCAACAGCCTTTTGGAAAAATAAGCCATCACCACTATTGAATATTACAGTAGCATTTCACATTACTAACCTGTTTTCAAGGCTTCCAGATACTGAAATATAGTCAAATATTATCAAGTGCTGTACCAACTCACAGAGCCCAACACCCCCAGCGTGAGGGCACACAGGAACTGAAATGAAAACAGAACAATCCCTTTAAACCAGTCTGAAGAATAAAGGCAAACGACTAGATTATTCAGAAAGCTTGTGTACCAACTCTGCTGGTGTTTAACTACAGCTTCAATAGCACCCCCGGCAGCCCTAGGGAAACTCGGCTTCCAGTAATAAGGGACCAAAGGCATTTTGAATTCGTACTAAAGTATGAGAGAAAACAAATGACTGAACCACACACAAGCGCATGCTCATGAGTTAGCAACATGACAGCTGAAGAAGTTGCATGGCAAACTGGCTTAGAACAAAAGAGGTTTTAGTGCTACTGACACACTTCCAAGAGCCTTACTTTGAAACTTTTTGGCCATCAGCAACACAGACAAGTTTTCATTCACACTTCCCAGCCTGCAGCTGTCAATCTGGAGATAGCTCAGGGCCTTAGCCTGTAGGAGCTGCTTAAATATCACTCTATTGTGGCACTGCGGGGGGGGGGGGGGGGGGGGGGGGGGGGGGGGGGAGAGAAAAAAAAGTTAAGCCCCAGAATCTAAGGAATTGGCAGGATATTACAAGAACTGTGGCAATGCAAGTCAAAACAATTGTACAATGTTCCCACTATGTTTCCCATTAAAACCAAGTTCTTTTTCCACTTAGCTGGAACAATGCACAGAAGTGCAGAGGGTTGCAAAGCATTTTACAAACATTAAAGAATCACAGTACAGTTGTAAAGTAGAGGCATAGTAGAATTACATCTATTTTACAGCTCTCTGAACGGAGGCACACAGAAATGTCACTATTTGCCTAAGTTCACACAGCAATTCAGTGGCAAAGCTGGGATCAGAACTGAGTCCTAATTCCATGTTTTGTTTTAATTGCCAGGCAAAACTCCTGCTCTTAATTGCATGTTACCCCTCATGTGAATGACTGGGCTACTGCAGCACTCAGACAGCAGTAGTGAATACACAGTGGTTCTGTCGGCTGTGGAAGACTATTTCTTCTCATGGACTCCTGCAGACCAGTCCAATGAGATGATTAGGGCCCTACCAAATTCACAGCCATGAGAAATGTGTCACAGACTGTGAAATCTTTTGTGTACTTTTACTCTACTATACAGATTTCATGGGGAGACCAGCATTTCTCAAACTGGAAAGCCTGACCCAAAAAGGTGTCACAGGGGCAAGGGGTTTCACAAGGTTATTGTGGGGGCAGGGGAGGTGTCACAGTATTGCCACCCTTACTTCTACACTGCTCTGAAGGCAGCACCCTGCCATGCCACCCTTACTTCTGCACTGCTGCCTTCAGAGCTGGGCGGCTGGAGAGTGCATACAGAAGTAAGGGTGGCAATATCGCTCCCTCCCCAAATAACCATGCAACCTCTCCACAGCTGAATAGCTGTGTCAAATATAAAGGGAAGAGTAAACCCCTTTAAAATCCCTCCTGGCCAGAGGAAAAATCCTCTCCCCTGTAAAGGGTTAAGAAGCTAAAGGTAACCTCGCTGGCACCTGACCAAAATGACCAATGAGGAGACAAGATACTTTCAAAAGCTGGGAGGAGGGAGAAAAACAAAGGGTCTGTGTCTGTCTGTATGATGCTTTTGCCGGGGACAGAATAGGAATGGAGTCTTAGAACTTTTAGTAAGTAATCTAGCTAGGTATGTGTTAGATTATGATTTCTTTAAATGGCTGAGAAAAGAACTGTGCTGAATAGAATGACTATTCCTGTCTGTGTGTCTTTTTTGTAACTTAAGGTTTTGCCTAGAGGGATTCTCTCTGTTTTTAATCTAATTACCCTGTAAGGTATCTACCATCCTGATTTTACAGAGGTGATTCCCTTACTTCTATTAAAAGTCTTCTTGTAAGAAAACTGAATGCTTTTTCATTGTTCTAAGATCCAAGGGTTTGGGTCTGTGGTCACCTATGCAAATTGGTGAGGATTTTTACCAAACCTTCCCCAGGAGTGGGGTGCATGGGTTGGAAGGATTTTGGGGGGAAAGACGTGTCCAAACTACGTTTCCCAGTAAACCCAGATAAAGTTTGGTGGTGGCAGTGGAAATCCAAGGGCAAAGGGTAAAATTAATTTGTACCTTGGGGAAGTTTTAACCTAAGCTGGTAAAAGTAAGCTTAGGAGGTTTTCATGCAGGTCCCCACATCTGTACCCTAGAGTTCAGAGTGGGGAAGGAACCTTGACAAGCTGAAATCATGAAATTTACTATTTTTAAAATCCTATGACTGTGAAATTGACCAAAATGGACTGTGAATTTGGTAGGGCCCTAGAGATGATGGATGATCTTAGTCAAGTGTCTTAACTATTAAACTCAGGATTCCATTTCTACCTCTGCCACGGACTTCTTACGTAGATGTTGGCCAAGTCACTTGATCTTTGTGCTTCACTTTCCAATCTGTAAAATGGGGATAATAGTACTCCCCTACCTAACAGGGGAAGTAAGATAAATACATTCATGTTTATGTGATGCTCAGATATTATGGTATGGAAAAACCTCTACGTACAATATATAAAGCCTATTACTCAGGAATTGGCCTTTAGTCTGCCAGGCAGGTCTGTGCTAATAGTTCATTCAAACCCATTCTCCTTAATAGATGTCATTATTCACACCAAAAATTAAATGTTCTATCTGCTGGCAAACAACAGCTGGAGGTCAGCATCACAATGAAATACGGCGAAAGCAGGGCTTTGCATGAGAAACTGGCAACAGAGTAAACCTATGCTAATGCAGGGTTTCTCATTGCTCACTGGCAGCTGGAGAGAATTTGCTAAATTATGTTGCTTTGCTCTGTAGATTTAGTAGAAGAGTTTGGCAGGAAGAGGTATGTCATTCATGAGCACAATAAAAAACAATTCAATTTGGTGCTGAAGCTGGTTTTCTTAAAGGGACCAGTCATTTTATTGATAGCTAACAATTTGTACATTACATCCAGAGAGGAGCTCAGGAAATGAGGTCTTTGGACTGCTAAGATACTTTTACATGCTGCTGATGTCTAGGGTGACCAGACATCCAGTTTTTAAAGGGACAGTCCCATATTTAAGACCTGCTGCAGGGATCTTTCTTAAAAACAGGCAAATTGTCCCATATTTTCTGTCTCCCTCCCATCAGTACTGGTGGGTCCTCCTGCTGGCCGGATCCCTGCTCACCAGCTGCCTGCCCATCAGCAGTGAGTGGGGGTCCAGTGGCCAACAATGGGGGTAGGTGTGCAAGGCTTGTGGCAGGGCAAAGCTACAGCACGCAGGGCTGGCCACTCCCCCTGCTGGTCCATCAGCTCTGCCCCCACTGTGTGTTGGCTCTCAGCCAGCAGGCCCTGCACCCCGTTTCCGGCCAGCATTGGCTGCGCACTGCGAGCTGCAGCGGCTGACGAGTGCAGGTAGGTGCCAGGTGGCAGCCGGTTACATGTCACCTCTGGTGCTCACCCATTGGCCCTTTACTTGCTCCTCCTCTTGCTGTCCTCTCCCTGCTTTGCCTGTTCACCGCCCCCAGCTCCCCCATATCCCCCGCAAGGAGGCCACGTCCCACTCCCAGTGCTGTGCGGAGAACCAGCCCCTGGTCAGATCACTCAACTCACCAACAGCCTGGCCGGCAGGCTCCTTCCTTCCCCCTCTGCCTCTGGCTGGGCCAGGAACCTGGAAAAGCCCAAGACCCTCCATCCCAGGACGCTGGCCATAAGGAGCCAAGCCCTGCATGTGCCAAAGCCCCACACAGCGCTGGCACGGGGAAGCCTCTTCACCCCTCAGCTAAGCTCTGGAGTGGCGAGGGGGAAAGGGGTTTCGGGGCGGGAAGCGATTTCCAGCCTGTTTGCGCCCTGACCCTGCAGGCTCCACAGCAGCCCCCCAGGCAGGGGCTTAGCACCCTCTTCACCCCCCCAACCCCCTACCCCAGGTCCTGCACCCCAGGGAGTGTAGGGCTGCTTCGTCGCCTAGGCACCCTCGCCTGCTGAGCCACCTCTCTGGTGGGGTTCGCTGAATCCCCTGCAGTCAGTTTCCCTGGGCCCTGATGCACAATGCATCCTTAGGGCTTAACCCCTTCCTGCCCACGCTATAGCCAGGGCACAGGAGGCGGCTGGGTTATGTCGGTGGCCAGCAGCAGCCCGAAGGCATTAGCTGACTTTCAACACTGTGCAGGCAGGGAAGGACAAGCTGCTTCCAGCCACAGGGGAGTGGGGGAGGGGGGAAAGAGATAAGCTCTGCAAAGACACAGGCCAAGTCATCCCTTCCCCACCCATCGCTGTAAGCAGCTCCTGTCCCTTCCCTCCCATAAAGGCTACTGCTGGCCACATTCTGGTGTGAACCTGGGCAGAAATCTGGGGAGGGGGGGCATGTGACCCTGTGTGCCCTCCCATGTTTCCTCAAGACGATGCAGCGCCAGGTATCAGGAGAGGTGGGTCCATCCTGGGGACCCAGCCAGGCACGGAGGGTGGAGAGCACCAGGCAGGGAGGGTTGGGTAGGTCCGTCACCCACACTGTGTGAGAGAAGTGTATGGGAGTGTGAGCTGTAGCTCACGAAAGCTTATGCTCAAATAAATTGGTTAGTCTCTAAGGTGCCACAAGTACTCCTGTTCTTTTTGCGAATACAGACTAACACGGCTGCTACTCTGAAACCTCTCCTTGTGTGAGCCCTACAGCTTTAAAGGTAAGAAGGTAACTAAAAAGAATCCAACTACGCAATATTTCTTTTTAACAGGGGCTCAGTCAACTTGATGTTAATGTGAATGTTTGTACTGCATAGTACTGATTGAATGTCGTTGAACTCGCTTGAATACAAGTAAGTTTACCACGCGTCCCATATTCAGCATAGCGAAATATGGTCATCCTACTTCTGTCAGTGCCTCTTGGAACTAGTGCTAGCAAGAAGCTAAGGGTGGGATCTATAAAAGTATTTAGGTGCCAACTTTAGGCCCAACTAGGGTCCGCAAAGCTCCGGCCCGGCTGCTGCTAAACCCTGTAGGCACCTAAATTCACTCAGTGCCTGAGTTTTTACACTAAAGAGTTCCCTAGTCACCTATGTTTTTGCCTCTCTGCATGTTCACTGTTGCCCGCAGGGCCTGATACCTAACAGATCAGATCCGCAGCATGTGACTTATGCGGCTGAATGCTTATCTTCCCCCGTCTGTGAATTGCTCTATGGCTCAGCTGGGAGATAGGCACCTGAGTGCCTCAAGTGAAGCAAGTTCACACAAAAACAACAAGAGGGCAAAGGAGGCTAATCAGCCTTTAGCACAGTGATTGGGTACTCACTCAAAATGAAGGAGACCCAGGTTCAAGTCTCCCCTCCACCTGCAGAGGAGAAGGAATTTGAATGGTCATCTGCGACCTCTCACCCCAAGGCTAGAGAGTCATTCTAACTCCTTCTCTGGCTCAAGTACTTAATTAAAGCAGGGAACTTCAACAGCGAACATTGAGGGAACCCTCTATCAGGATGTTTCATAGGCCAATGGTTAGGGCACTCAGCTGAGAAGTGGTAGATCCCTGTTCAAACCTTCATAATAAATTCATCACAACAAAATCTTCCCAGATTGTCCAGACAAATGGGGGTGGGGGAGAGAATACCTATCAAAGTTGGTCTTAAATTTTGTGAAATAAATCCAAGGCTGTTTTCAGTCATGTTATTTAATTCCCAAGTGAGAAATCAAAGTGAACTTTGGCACAAATTCTCAAAAGTCACGAAGCTACATTAAATAAATGACTGAATAAAAAACAATTAATTAGACACCCACTTACTTGTTCTCCTGTTGCCACACCAATTCCTAATGGCGCCAAGGCCTACAAAAATAAATAATAAATAAACAAAAAACAAAGGACTTGCTTCTAATCTGTAATTCCCAAATACTGGTCCTCACCAGAATGAGGAGACAGAGAGAGAAGAACAGCTAACAAAGTGCAATGTTTACTTGCTATGCATCTGGAAGAAACTAAGCGTTGTGTAATTTTTTGTTAGTGCATTTTATGCTGCTTTTTTGCTACCCCAATAATATGTGAAGAATTATGTAAGAGGGTGTGTGCTGCCATAAGGGGATATACATCTGCGGCTCAAGCATTACTATTAGCTATATCACATTATGAGCACATATCCTGGGCTAGCATTACTCTAACTTTACTGAAACACCAATCCACACATATTAAAAGAAAAAGACACATACACGTTTCCGGGCAAATCCTGGTTGCTTTTCTTGTGCAAGCATGATAGTCTCATGGCCTTTGATATAATCTTTGGACCATGCTTTTCGTTTAAGTGTAATGGAATACAAATACAGGATGTGCCCAGGATTTTGTAGCAAACATATTTAATGACTTTTGACAGCTGGTTTCAGCCTGAACTTTGAACATTCCAAACAGCAGCGTCAATAAATGAATCACTACTGCTCTCTGGTGTGTAGTCACTAAGTCATTACTGAAATGAAAAACAAACCTTAGAAATGGCTGCATGTCCAAGAATATCATCGGGAGAAGTTGGCTCCTCAATCCATAATGGTTTAAATTCAGCTAATTTAGTGACCCACTCTATTGCTTCCTTCACTTCCCATCGTTGGTTAGCATCCAGCATCTGAGAGTAATTACAAAACAAATTCACTTATATGACTCCACTGAATTTTTATATATGAAATTGTCAAAAAAACCCAACCCCATAATGTTGCTATAAATTAATGAAAAAAGGAAATTCAGACAGTGTAGATCACTGCTGTTTTCTGATCTTTAACACATCATATGATATGTTATGATGTAGAACATGTTCTACAATTCCTAGACTCAATAAAGGTAATGATAAAATAATAGCCTAAAAGATGAACTTCAGGTGGAAATCCAAAATTATGTTTTGCTGGAAATGCTGCTTTGAGATGACACATTAAATCAAAGGCCCTGGTGTACTGTAATTGTTAAAAGACCCCAGGAAACTTCTTACAAAAGTGAAGGTCATGGATTTGGTCTCAAATCCTTATTCCAACTGTGGTAGTTGTATTTTGCTTTTCTGAATTTCTCCACCAGGTTTCAAATGAATATGATATTGTCAACTTCTCTCCCAAATGTCTGTGTAGTGTTCTTGTACACCATTAAAGAGGTGACACCCTGAACTCCAGAAGTGACTGTTTCAGTAGCAGGCAAAACAATTTCTATATAGTAAGTGAGTGAAGCACTCTGGAACAGGGATGGTTGAAATTTTTCAACAGAACTGGGTTGGGTTTTTTTGGCTGGGGGTAGGAGGGGGAAAAAGCACTGGTGGTCAGAAAACTGGGTTAGATTTCAATGGGAGTTTTGGCACAAGAAATATTGGTACAGGGTGAGATCAATCATGTATCTACATGAAGAGACAGCCATTTTATATTTAAAATTATTTAATAGTGTAGTCATAAAAAAAAAATATTCACCAGTGTCTTGTCAGGGCCAATCATTTCTCTAATAAGTCTGCATCTACGAATGTCATCCTGCAGATCGGCACCAACCTTTACTTTAAACCTAGACACAACATTTATAATAAAATGTAGTCATTTCACCACGATTAATGTAGTGATAACTTTCCTCTACGAGAAACTCTAAACTCAAATTTACAAAAACACCAGAGTCAGTGTTTTATGGTCAATATTTCCTTATCACATCTGTCCCTTTTCCAGCACACTTCATCCTTGTTTAACAAAAAAGAAAAAAGACAGCAAATACCTTTCCATGAATCAACAGGAAAGCAATTACCTTTGTTAGCTACTAGCCTACAGTTTGCCCGGAGGAGAGCTCATTTTGCCATACATTTACTTAGATACCTACTGTAATGGTATGTTATGGAATAGCAGAAAGGGAAAATATTTTTTAAAAATATCAGAAGCAAAGACATCTCTTCTCAGAATGTAGAGATTGAAAAGACCTATAGGGTCATCCATCTAGTCTGTCTCGGTGCCAAATCAGGACTGATCTCGATAGTATATTTCTATTTGCTACTAATCATTAAACAGAAAAGTTCAGCAAATGAGATAATTGTTTACTATACCTTGTCCAACCATCCTTCAATGCATCTGTGCATAGCTGCAGAGAAAAATTACATCTATTATACCTCCAAGTAGCTGCACTACTCAATATGTAGACCAGTATTTATTTACAGGCTGTCTAACCCAGGGTGAACTTTCTATCCATTTCTTTATTGACAAAAGTGTAGTGCAGACAGTAATTGAGAGCAGAGGTATGAATAACGTCCAACTGAATTGTAGGATCCAAATTCCTCAATATATGTAAAGAAATACTTTATGCATTTCTTTATTTTCATGTACTATGCATGACAGTCCTATGACACAGAAAGCTGAACTTTTCCAAAAAACTAAACCAGATGATAAACATGTATTGTACTAACCAGACCTCAGATCCCAGAGCTGTGAAGAGCCTTCATGATATTTCACTTTGAAGGCAGATTTAGTTACAGCAAACTAAGGCCACTTTACTTCTGAAGGAGAGTTTCCACACAGGGGTTTAATGCGCTTTAACTTCACACCTTTTGTTAATTCATCTTCACTTTCCTGAGCATCCCCATGTAGACAAAGCCCATTGTCTGCACCAATGTAGCTGCACAAGTGCAATCCTCTAGTTATACACAATACATCAGTGTAAACTGGCTTGCAATGGTCCATGCTTATCCCCAACAGCTACAGCTAAAACCCCAAGGTAGACAAGGCTATAAAACCCTTCCCACTGTGGCTAGCACAAAAGCCAATGAACAACTAGGCCCACAGAACAGGGCCACCTTTCACACATACCCCTCCCACATATGCAATGCTTAACGGTTTCGCTTTGCATCTGAGCCAAAACTAAGCAACCCCTGAGTGCTGAATCGTCACCTTGGCATTCCTCACTGGATAGAAATGTTTAAAATCTTACTTCTGTAATCTAATGTCAAAGAATCAAACCTGTTTTAACTGCTGGTCCGGGTAGCCCAGCCAGGCACAAGACGTGGTATAAGCAGGGTATCCATGCTTTAACACTTGCTCTTCTAAAAAACCAAAGAATGTCACCAATGAACAGATGATTAGTTTGTATTCTAGTTTTAGATAAGTCGTTACTCATGGAAATGAAAGGAGTTTAAAAATCAATCTCATTTTAATCAGGGCAGATGAAATTTGCTGAGAAAAATCCTCCCTATCCTCCCCTTCTTTCCAAAATGTGGGAGAGCTTCAGCTCAGAAAAATACCTTTAGGGTGTAACCAGCACGATCACTATGCCATCGTGACTGACACAAACATTCACTGAGGGGTTCCCAAGCAAATGGCCACCAAGACAGCACAAGCCCCCTCTATAGGTACACCTCCCCAATGACTCATAAGGAGGAGATAACACACAATGCATTCAGCCTCATACGAGAGCGTCAATTGTCACATTCCACTTCCCAGTGACTAGGACCCTCCAGGATGCAGAGTGCCACATCAATCATGCAATGTGTTCAGTCCTTTATTCTCCTACAAGACAGCAAAAGTAAACTTGGTTTAAACTTACCTCTTTCCGTCTTCCCAAGACGACCATTTTGGAGTATTTCTGCATGAGGGCAGGGGAGAAAAAGAGGGGAAGATTATTGCATTAACCAAAGTTCAATTCCTCCACATCCTACCACCACACTCTGCTGTTTTCATAAAACAAGATTCTGATCTGTTTACTTACAAAGAGTAATGCCCTACTGCTCGAGTAGTCCCACTGAAATCAAAAACAGCTCAAGGAGTAAGGGGATCTGTCTTGACAGAAGGACAACTTACCATGAGCTTCTTCTTCTGTTAGTGCATCAGTAATATACCTGAAATCTATGCAGGATAACAACTGCTTTGGGTCCTGTTAACAAAATATTTAATGTAAATCAAACAGCAAAGAATAATAAAATCACATGATTACAAAAAGGCAATACTAAGGTAACATATACATCTGCCGTGTGAGCCCTCTATCAGCCTTTTCCCTGTCACAGACAGTACTGAGAATGGATTCACCGACTCTAAAATCAAACTGATTAACTGACTCTGGCAAACTTTAAAGTTCTAATCCAACAAATATTTAGGCATGTGCTTAAAGTTAAGCATGTGAATAACTCCATTTAACTCAATGGTGCCACTCACACGCTTAATGTTAAGCATGTACAAAAATATTTGCACAGGGTGTAATTGATTAACAAACATTAAAAAAATTACTAATCCATTTGGAATGCTTTAGGTGTGCAAATCTGTACATACTATAATCTTCACACAGAAACGACAGCGCACTCAGCATCAGAGGCTGCTTTTGACTCCTTTGAAAATCTGTCTCAAGAGAGTATTTATCAAAAGAGGATTGAAAGCAATTTATTGAAATAGTTTGAGAAAAACCCAATTCAATACATTTTAAACTGAGAAGGGATTCAATATTAACAGGTTGCAGAAAAGAGACTGAAAACATGAGCTACTTTAGGCATATTAAAAAAAATGAAGATTTCATTTAAAAAAAAACCAAAACAAACAAACCATACTCAATCCCCAATCCTGCAACGATTTATGTACACGCTTAATATCCGAATATAAAATCTGCTACTAATGAATCAAGAGATTGGACTTTTACTTTCTGTAAATACATCAACCTTTATTACTGTATACAGAGGCCTGTATTTTCAAAAGTGACTAGTGATTCTGGGTACTTGCTTTAGGTGTCCTATGTTGAGACCCCTTATTAGGGTCTGATTTCCAGAAGGATAGTGCTAACTATATTGTCAATGTACCTCAAAGTCGAGCACCCAAAAACAGAAGCATCCAAAATGACCTGTCACTTTTGAAAGTGCAGGCCAACGAGATCTGAATATTTGCTAAAAGTCAGATGATGAAATATTTACTTATTTCCCCGCAAAAAAAATATATAAATATATAATATATAATATAAAAACCAACCAAACCCCAATAATCGAATCCCTACATTTGTCTTGGCAAAAAAACACAGCTCCTCAGCCTAATCATAAGGGTTAAGGTCAACTTTTAGGTTTGCACTTTAAAAACATAATTTACTGGTATCAGTACAGATGGGTTCCAGTTGCCATATATAGTATCGTAGCTGGACAGCACAGAGTGTGTATCAGTGCTCCCATTAAAGGGGCCGATTTGCACAGCTGTGTAGTGCCAGAAAGAGACATCCTGGAAGAAGAAGAGCCCTCCAGAGCAAAATGTCACATCCACAGCTTGTAGAACCCTTTGGTTTCTACAGCCTTGGAATGAGCTACATGGCCAGAGAGGTAATTATAGCCTAGATACTGCCTGAAATTTTTACTCTTCTACTGCATCAAAAACATCAGTGTGGAACAGTGGTAACATTAGCTCACATATAATAAGATTTTCTTACCATGTCAACTAGTAACTTCCACAGAGGCTAAAAAACAAAGCAATTAAATTATATGAAATGGATGGAGAGCACATAAAAGCAGCATACAGGTGATATTTTATCTTGGAGTGACAAAAAGTAAGTGTGGAAAACATTTACATTTGACGCCAAATGCATCTGGCTGATGTGGTTCCCAAATCAAGACAGGAGATTCAAGATGTCAAGCCCCAGGCTAAATTACTTTAACAGGAACATCTCTGTCTGTGCCGCCTCGTTATGGCCAGGACACTGATCCTGGACCCACAAATAGCTGGTGTTAACTCACTTTTATTATGTTAAATTAGTCAGACTTGAAATGCTGACGGGACACTATTACTGGAAATGGTTATTTATGCTGAAGAAATTGATCCTTTCTACTTTTAAGATTTCTGCGGCACTACTTCTTATGCGCCTTACGTTGGACTGAGCTCCTGCATACTGACAAGTTTAGAGGTGCCCATTACCCTTTCCTAGGAAAGGGAAAGTATCACAATAACTCTATAAGACAATGGTTTGCAGCGTTGTCCTAGCTGTCTTGGTCCCAGGATAATTAGAGAAACAAGGTGGGTGAGGTAATATCTTTTATTGGACCAACTTAAGACAGTAGCGATGATTTACTACTACAGTACTATTATTATTTACTACTTCTATTGTGGTGGTATCTAAGAGTCCTAGTCACAGACCAAGACCCCCATTGTGCTAGGTGCGGTACAAACACAACAAAGTGATACTCCCTGCCCTAGTTATTTTTTTTACAGTGTCTAACACCATGCTACGTGCCCCAGATAGAAATATATGAGCCTTGCTCCAAACAGCTTACAAGGCCATACTAGAAAGTAGTTACAAGGAATTCGTAATTTTATGAACAGTCTGCAAAGGAAGAAGAAGAAAAGAGAAATCAAGAAAAAATTAGTTGTTAAGTAGAGCTGGTCAAAAAAGGTTTTGTAAAGATGTCATTGTTGGTCAAAATTTAAACAAAAAATGTTGCTGAATTTTCTTCCCAGCCAGCTCTACTGGTAAGTGGTGTATAAGTGTCAGCTACTAAAGCCTCAGTCCCACAAAATGAATAGCCCCAATGAACTCAGTGGTGGGCATCCATGAAATTAGGACCAGGATCTAAATCTGCAAAAAGCATATCAGGATTCGGACTCGCTAATTTAACAAATAAAGGGACATTTTTTGGCCATGTGCTCTAAGTACATCACCTTTCCCTCCTGCTTAGCCCACAAATCCCACACGGCATTCAGAACAGCAGCTGTAGCCAAATGCACAGCACCTTTCTCTGGACCAATCTGTTGAAAAGAAACAAACAAACAACCATACAGTTACCTATAATGGTTTAGCATACCTTGGGGTCTTCATTTCTAGTTAATGACCATTAGCAAACTTATACATCTGGACAACACAACAAAGGAAAAACCACTGGAATTAAAAAGATAAACCTCTGTTCATCAGAAACTGAGAAAAATCTGAAGTTGGTGTGTATTAAGTGCATTGTGAGATTACTACAATGGCTATATTGATATCTAGTTCATCTTAATACCAGCTGAGTTTTCAATTTCCAAGAATACTAGACACTGTATAGAAATAATATTTCGTGAACACTTGCAAGTCGGAAAAAAGAACAGATAAAGACACAGCATTTGGGCTCTAAACACAGGGAAACAAAGAATCTGGACCCCAGGCCCCACTTCTGCTATTGGATCTATGTGGGTGGATACTTTCATTTGTCTAAAGCTCCCTTGAAAACAACAGGGCTCTGGATGCGTGTATGGGTTCTGCCCGTGTAGATCCTATTGCAATGTTAGAGTCCTGGTTGTGAAACAGAAATTTCGCCCCCCCCCCCATACCTGCACAGAAATCCTTATCTAAAAATACTTTTATATGTGTCCTTACAGAGTTCATAACACAAATTCATGTTTGTTGCCATCCACTTCACAACACTCCATAAGATACCCCTTACCCATCGGAGCTGTCCGTCACTGGTGAGCTGCCTGTAGAATCCTCTAAAATCGCTGACAATTTCTTCTAGGTCTTTATTAACCACGTGAATGGAGAGAGCGTTAACTGCACAAACAACTGCAAAACACACCAGAATTTGTTGCTTTAATACCACACAGTGACTAGAACAAAATTACTAGAACACTAGTTCTATTGTTCAACCACTGTTTTAGAATTTCACCTTTTCTGCATAGGTGCTGGACCTAGGGGTGCTGCCATACCCCCTGGCTTGGAGTGGTTTCCATCATACACAGGGTTTGTAGTTTGGTTCAATGGATCTCAGCACCCCCACTATGCGAATTGTTCCAGCCCCACTACGTTTCTGAGAGGGGCTTGGTCTAGCAGATTGAATATGTAACTGGGAGCCAGGAACACTTGACACGTAACATTGGCTCTGCCAATGATTCAGTTTGTGCGGCCTTAGATAAGCTACATAACTGCTCTGCATCTCACGTTTCCCTATTTATCCCCTGGTAAAGATAATACCTACCACCAAGAGAGGTTGTAAGGCTCAATTAGTTAATAACGGAAGGGTGTTTGAAGATGAAAAGTCACTTGCATGTCACCTTTTTCCCCAGAGAAAGATCTTGCTGCCAATGTAATCCTCAGGCACGCACACCACAGTAGCGTTCAGAGGGGGCAGCGTTATGCTATTGTGAGCACAAGGAACTACAGAAGTTTCCCTAAAATGCTGGGAGAAGACTGTTTCTTTGGATTTGATAGACCTCACCCACAGGACCTGTTGCATCTCATGCAGTATATATGGTACTTGCAGCCATGTTAAATTTCTCAATTCCTCATAAGGGATTTTGTTTCTGGTTATTGTATAATAATTGTGATCCAGTTGTTTTAACTCCCCCAAAAATCTACCCCATCTCATTTCAACACAAGCTCCAGCAGAGAATTTTGTTAGAGCAAAACACTAGCAAATCAAGAAAGTATCTTATACATCCATTGTTATCTAGCAGGCTGGACAGGGTGGAGGCAATCACAGAAAGGAGTGGACATGTCAGGAATTTTAGCACCATTCAACCATCATTTTCTGACACAGATAAGAAGAAATAAGAGAGAGAACAGCAAACTGCACAGGAAAGCTTGGGCCCAATCCTGTTAGGTATGCCTATTTAAGGCATTAGCTTGAGATTTGGGATGGGTGGGTTCAAGTCCCTCCTCCATCCCAAGCTTTGATGACCTTAGGCAAGTCTCAGTCTTTCTGTGCCTCAGTTGTCCTCCTGTAAAATGGGGAAATAATATTTCCCTTTCTCACAGGGGTATTGTGAGGATAAAGACTGGGAGGTGCTCAGCTACTATAGTGATGGGGGCCAGATAGGTAGCAACAAACACTCTCAAACTCTCATGAACTTCGGGAGAGTGGAGGGTGGTCAGTGCTCAGCACCTTGCCATACCAGGTCCAAAGTTCGCAAAAAGGACTGTATCTTCATTGAAGGTCTTATTGAAGGCCATAGTGAGACTCTTGAACCAGGAACAGATCCCTTTATCATGGCAAGTATGATTGTGTACAGTACACTGGAATATTTAGAGATTATTTTGCCATTATATGGACAAAAAACCCTGCTGTTTTTGATGGAGGAGACCAACAGTTGTGAATACTTGATAGTTGTGTCTTCTTTATGCACCCAATGATACTTTTTTCCTTTTAAAGAGTAAATGGACTAATTTTGAAAATGTTTTACAAATATAGCTATAAAAAGGGAAAGACAACATATAATCTGATGTAGGATATCACCTCCATGGAGGATGATTCTTTAGAGTTCGTAACATATTTAGTATTGTCCCTATACTTGAGTGGCAAGGTTTTAATGGACTATGATTTTGTGACTGTCACATTGTGATCCGAGAATGCCAGAATGACGTTAGCTGAAAGGTTTCCAGGCAATAAAGCACTTATGAAGAGTTGCTTAGAGACCTACTTAGCAATTTTCTAAGAAAAAGTGGTGTGCAATGGATACATTGCTACTTCGTAAAGGCACAAATCTTACAATTGTTCAGAATGACCCTGGAAAGACAAAGGTTTGGTCCTGGATTGTAAACTTCCTCCCCCAAATCATCAGGCAGTATGTAATGATTAACATATTACAGGCTTTGCATGCACAATGCTTACAAACTGATGCTAGCTTCTGACCAGATAGGGGATACGTGCAGTGCAGATGTGCCCCTGGAGATGTAGAAAAAGCTGAGAACCTGGGTCCTATCTGTTTAAGAGCTTGAGCATTCAATTATCTATGGACATGTGTAGCTAGGTGTATCTTGAATATACAGAAGAGCAGGAGCCGATTTTGCAAAGATAAATGTGTAAATAAATACACACAGATCGAGCCCTAAGAATCTATTTAAACCTATCTTTCCTTCCCTTTTCTTGCCAATACTAATGGCATCTATGTTTTCTTTCTCCAAATATTTTCTCCCTACTACCATAATAATAATATAAACTGATAGGCAGAAGACTGAGCCACACAGTTCAGATAATTTCACTTAGAGCAGCAGTTTTCAACCTTTTTTCATTTGCAGACTCCTAAAAAATTTCAAATGGAGGTGCAGACCACTTTGGCAGTCTTAGTCTATGGACCCCCAGGGGTCATGGACCACAGGTTAAAAAGCACTAACATAGAGCAAGCCCACAGCCTTCCTTAACCTTTCACGATTTCATTCCACCCTTATAAAGAGAGTGTTATGGCTGCAACGGAACATTCTCTGTGAGCAAGAGAAGGCAAAGCTGCTATTGGAGTGAAGCAAGCATCACTGTGCGAGAAACCAGCCATTTGTGTTGGCTAGGCCTCACCACCTCAAGGATGTCTAGAATGTGATCTCAGCTGTGCCTTGCTGCAATACGTCTTCTATATAAAAGAGAAACCGCTTAGGCCTGAAACCTGGTGAACACTTAGGGGACATGGATTTTCATACTGTGCTCACTGCACTGCGTGAAAATGCTATTGATTTCCAAGCATATGGACTTGTTCTTGAAAGGTGCTGAGCACTCTGGCCCCGATCCAGCCAAGCACTTAAGCACGTGCTTAACTTTAAGTGAGTGGGTCCCTCAACTTCAATGGGGCTACTCGGGTGCTCACGTGCATTGCTGGAGTGGAACCAGAGTGCTTGCAAGATGAAGCCCTTATGTAATTCATAAGGACACAGACATGTCTCTAAGGGTCACCCATCAAACATCTAAGACAATGGAGAGGTATTGGAGACTAACATTTAAACTTTAAATTACTAGGATGGACAAAGAGCCTAAGCCCCTGTCTATAGCAGGGAAATTTTCTAAAACTTTCTCACTGTTCGCAGTGGTAGCAGCCTTAGCGTAGACAGTCTCCCAGCACTTTATACATCAGATCAATGAGACCTACTCCTAGAGGGATTACGTGACACAGTGATAAAAGGCTGACAGCCCATCTATACTACACTAGTAGTGTAAAAAGTTTGTCTCGCTCACCAACAGGAGCTGGTCCAATATTACCTCACCCACCTTTTCTCTCTAATACCTGGGCCCAACATGGCTACAACGATGCTGCAGACATTTAAGCGCAAGAAGCATTTGTCACTCCTCTTATTGAGGATTAAAAATAAATAACTTAAATCATGCCAACGACTATATCAGATACACATACAAAGATTTCACAGTTAATTTGTGCAATAACTTTTCAAATCAAGTAATCTGGAGGTTCATATCTGCAAACGTCCATGGACATTTATACACAGCAGAGACACCCCAAATCCAGCCATTATTATTTTGACAATTTATGCAATGCACCCAAAAAGCGTATAGGTGTTTTACAGATTAAAAAAGAGGCATGCTCCATGCCTTTACCATCTAAGGCCCTGATTCTGCAAAGAGAGCTGAACAGATGGACAAATGGGTCCGGGGGCTAAGTCAATGGCGCTCGGTGGGTGCAGGGATTTGTTCACACAGTTCTCTACAGGATCAGGGCCTAATTTTCAGAAAGAAAATGCGATACAAAATGTAAATCACTGATACTATTCTCAAGTAAGTCTATGTGGCTAATGAGGGACTTAGCAGTATGAGAGGTTATTTGAACTGGCACAAATACTGAGGAGGGGAGAGGGCAGAGGGAAAACATATTCCCCCCCCCCCCAACTTTTTACTATTCTGTGAATGTTCTCACTGATGCCCTCTCACTGTTCACATTTTCCTCAATCGCCTCAAAATGTTTGTTGTTACACCAATGACCAGAAAGAGCTGTAACCCATGGTAACAAAATTGCCTGGCAAGGGCAATTTCAAAAGTCAGTTCTGTTTTCTGTGTGGGGGTGGGGGAAAAGAGAGGAAGAAAGCAAGCAAGGACTGTTAAAAGCTTAAAGCATTTACAAGACATCAGCAAGTTTAGAATCAGGCAACCTGCAAGTCTGACAACTGCAGCCAGGATTAAAACTTTTTTATAACAAACTCTTTTAGGGGAGATTATAAAGAGATTTTGCAGAACAGCTACTCCAGTAAGTGATTTATTGGAACAAAAATCAAGAAAAGTGCTAAATTGCAACCTCTACAACCCTATAAGCTGCCCCAAGACCTATGGCTTTTTTTTTTTAAATTCAGCAATGGTAAAATAATAAATTTGTTAATCTGTAAGGTGCCACAAGTACTCCTTTTCTTTTTGTGGATACAGACGAACCCAGCTGCTACTCTGAAACCTAAAATGGTCCTGTATTTCATTTTCAAAAAAGGAGAAACTGCATTAGTCATTGAACCCAATGCTTTCAGTGTGACTTGGGGCCCATTTGTGTTTAGGGACTGGATAATAACTTACCAACTTCTGTGCCTTTACCCAAAGTAAATGTTAATCCATAGCCTTTGACTCCATCACGGGCATCAGTTTCTATTACAACATAGGCAGCAGAATAGTCAGGGTCCGGGTGCTAAATTAAAGACCAAAAACACCACCCAATATTGGAGCAAGAAACTTACAAAGGAGGACTGACACGGATTCACCCGCCATAGGTCACATACCTCTTAGAGCAACAAAAAGCACCACAAAGCACTGGCAAAGAGGGCAGCAATCCAGGTAATTTAAGATTTGTGGCAAAATAAATATAGAAGTCTAGATCTGGGGGCCTAAGGCAAGTCATCGCTCACTGAACAGTGCAAGTCCTTACAGGGGGAAGCGGATAGATTTTATCACCAGCATTTGATCTGAGCGAACAGAAAAGATTTACAGGCAAGAGGCTCATGGCCCAGGGGCTGCAGCCTCTGGCTCTAGCTCCAAATCCCCTTGCCCTGTTTAATGCAGTATCCCCATATCAGAGACCTTGGCTGCGCGCAGTCCGGCGCTGCGGCAGACCAGCCCGTGGAGACTCGCTGGGGCTGCGGAGGGGCTGGGGCAGCGGCTGCTCAGCGGCCCTGTGGCTACTGCAGCGCCGGAGAGCGGGAGGCGGCGGCAGCACTTACCATAGCATCGGAGCCATGGTGCCCCAGGGAGGTGGGGAAGCGGACGTCGCTCACCGCGAGCCCAGTGATCCTGCCCCGCACCATGGCCCGAGCCCAGCCCGGCCTCCTCCCGCCTCGAGACCACGGCGGCCGCGCGAGGAACTCACCCACCAGGGAGCGCTCCTCCCACCGCCCCCCGGAGGCCACTCTCAGCGCTGATTGGTGCGCGGCCCCTCGGCCACGGGAGGTGTGATTGGCCGCTCGGGGCGTTCTAGAACGTGGGGGCCGGGCGTTCTGCCGGGCCGGGGGATATAAGGGACGGGAGAAAGAAAGGAAGCGGCTGGGGCTAGCGGAGGGTCAGGCGGGGGTTGGCAGGAAGGATGTAGCTGCTCCCCCCCCTCGCCTGCTCAACGGATATTGGTACATTACAAAGTTGTGGTCAGAATCTAAACGGTCACAAAACTGGGACCCAGAGCTTTGGTTTGGCTTGGTGTGGGAACTGTGGCTAGCGGGGGCATTTAGCCCAGAGCCAGCCCCAAATAAAATCCTAGGTGTTTGTATCCCGAGATTTGGTCTGGGGCCCTTGCCCCAAATTGCACAGCAGAGCAAAACTACTTTATTGTAGCAAATTTTACAAATGTTAACAGAAAGCATTGGTTGTTACGTGTCATTTTTTAAAAAAAACAATGTACATGTTGCCAACCCTTGGAATTGTATTGTGTGACATTGATAGGCCTAGTCTACACTGCATGGTTAGACTGATGTAAGCTGCCTTGGATCGACCTAGCTGTGCATGGGGCTTGTCTACACTACCTGCCGGATCGGCCGGCAGCAGTCGATCCAGCAGAGGTCTATTTATCGCATCTAATAGAGACAAGATAAATCGACTGCTGAGCTCTCTTCCGTTGACTCCTTGTTCTGGTGGAGTACCGAAGCGCAAGTGGAGTCGACGGGAGAGCATCAGCTGTTGACTTACCGCGGGGTCTTCGCTGCGGTAAGTAGATCTAAGTATGTCAACTTCAGCTACTCTATTCACGTAGCTGAAGTTGCGTATCTTAGATCGACCCCATGCAGTAGAATAGACAAGCCCTGAGCGTCTTCGATTAAATTTGGCTTCCACCATTGTAAATACCTCTCTGTGCTGGTTTAGTAACACTACCTCCCCAAACAGCATAGAGTCACAGTCAATGTAATTAGAACAACACAGTGTCAGCGTAGATACAGTGTTGCTTACCTGAACTGTAACTGGTCTCCTGGTGCTGTCCCATAAAGCCTCACACTGACACTACAATCAATACAAGCAGTCCTGGTGGAGCGTGCACCACTGACACCAGGAACCAAGTGTGCATGTGCACAAATGAATTAATAATTATGGCAGCTGTATGCTGACATAATTTAAGTCAACATAATTTTATAGTGTAGACCAGGGATCGGCAACCTTTGGCATGCGGCCCATCAGGGAAAGCCGCTGGTGGGCCAGGCCGGTTTGTTTACCGTCAGCATCCGCAGGTTCGGCTGATCCCAGCTCCCACTGGCTGCGGTTCACTGTTCCAGGCCAATGGGGGCTGTTGGAAGTGGCATGGGCCGAGGGATGTGCTGGCCACTGCTTCCAGCAGCCCGTGGGAGCTGCGATCGGCCGAACCTTCGGATGCTGCAGGTAAAAAAACCGGCCCGCCAGCGACTTTCCCTGACGGGTCGCTTGCCAAAGGTTGCCAGTTCCTGGTGTAGACATTGCTTTCTTGTTTTTCTTAATGCCCCTGCTGCTAGAGTCATAGGAGGACATGAGAATCTTGGCTTTCACTTAAAAGTAAGTTTCTAGCCTTTGTGATTGTGGAGAAAAGTTAAAAAAAAATGTGACCTAAGTGTGCCCTAAAGGTTAGACAACCAGAAAGCAAATCTGGTTTGTGGGGAGGGGGCTGACTCATTATTTTTGAATGCTTGGGGTTGGCAATATAAGGACTAGCAGTTTATGGGACTGTTTCCCAAGGAACCAAATTAAAATAATTACAATAAATGGCAAAATTCTGACGTGGTTTCTTGCCCTTCCTCTGAACCCCCTGGTTCTGGTCACCGTTAGAGGCAGGATACATAACCACTGGTCTGAATTCATAGAATCATAGGTCTAGAAGGGACCTCGATAAGTCATATAGTCCAGCCCCCTGCACTCATGGCAGTGCTAAGTATTATTTAGACCATCCCTGACAGGTGTTTGTCTAACCTGCTCTTAAAAATCTCCAATGATGGAGATTCCACAACCTCCCTTGGCAATTTATTCCAGTGCTTAACTACCCTGACAGGACATTTTTCCTAATGTCCAACCTAAACCATCTTTGCTGCAATTTAAGCCCACTGCTTCTTGTCCTATCCTCAGAGGCTAAGGAGAATATTTTTTCTCCCTCCTTCTTCATAGAATCATAGAAGGTTAGGGTTAGAAGAGACCTCAGGAGGTCATCTAGTCCAGCCCCCTGCTCAACCTTTGTAACAACCTTTTTTATATTTGAAAACTGTTGTCCCCTCTCAGTCTTCTCTTCTCCAGACTAAACAAACCCATTTTTTCAGTCTTCCCTCATAGGTCATGCTTTCTAGACCTTTAATAATTTTTGACATTTGACAATCATTCCAGACATTTAATCATCTTGTCTGGACTTTACTCACCAATTTTCTGAAATGGATTTGTCAAACCTTGCTGTGGAGAGAGGGGAGATCACCCTTTGCTACTAATCCTGATGTTAGATTACACCCAAAGGAAATATCTGTTTATAAGTACCACATGCACATGGTATCCATATTACTTAATTCAATAACAGCCTGAAAAGGCTTTGAGTGCTGAGGCTATTTTAATGACAATGGCTCTGCAGGATATGTTATGCTTTCTAATAATCTACTCATTTGTACGTTAACCCCAGCTAAGCAGTCAATCAGGCTTTGCCTTCATAAATCACTCTCTACAAATAGCTGTCTTTGTGACAAATGTGTTGAGAAGATTAAATGTAATGTTTTCACCACAGTGTTTCTGGTAATTATGGCACTTGTGTGACTGTACTAAACGTTTAAAGGCCCGTCCATAAATTACATAATACTTTTTTATGGATCTGCAAGACCAACCCACCACTTTGTAATATTAAAACAAACTCACACAATTAAGAGCCCATACATTCCTTAATGATTATCTAATTTATGGACAGCAATGAAGTACTTCAGTGTTGAACATTCCCCCCCGATTGTGGTGTGTACAGGAAATAATGAGGCACCCAAGAAAGCCATCATGGAATCCCCATAAATTGTTCAAGAGGACAAGAAATAGTATCTCCAATAAAATGTCTATTTTTGATTTAAATCCAGGCCCTTGAATACTAAATTAAAATGGAAATGCAGAAGAAAACCTCCATTTATTGCACTTGAAACTCTTTATTACAGAAGAATGAAGATACATAGAAGTAATAAAACATTAAAATGAAAAATTATATAATCATACTAAAAGTGAAAAGAAGTAGAGGTGTAATACAGACTCAACTTGGATAAAACAAAAACACACGATTACTTTGCTGACAGCAATAGAGGGCTGACCTTGCTCCCTCTTAACTTCAGTGCTAACAGGAATGGCCCCCAGATCTGGAATGTAAAAGTTTTCAGTATGCCATTTGTTTAATTGTAGCCCAGCCCTGAGGTGTGACTGCCTTCTCCCTTTCCTCCTCAGGGTTATGGGTCCTTGTTTCACCTATATGGGTGCCTGGTGCCTCCACCCAAGCAAACCCCTTAATGCAGAGAACACAGAGGGCTTGTCTCCTGGCAAAATATTTCATATAATCTCATACAGAGGGGGTGTCAGAGCACACAAAACTAAACTAGCTATCACAATTCCCACAGTAATAAAACAGTAACTGGGTCTTTATTAGGTATGGGGAGCTCAGGATAAGGGTCAGTGGAACAGGAGATTAGGATAAAGAGACAAAACAACAATATTTAACACTAGCCCTCCCAATATTTACAGCCAGTACAAACCTCCCAGCACCTGGATAGGCAAATAGTGATCTTAAGCTCAGTCTTTCACAGAATCATAGAAGACTGGGGTTGGAAGAGACCTCAGGAGGTCATCTAATCCAACCTCCTGCTCAAAGCAGGATCAACCCCAACACCCCTCTTTGATGGGTGGTGCAGCGCTGATGTCCATGGTGGGCTCAAAACAAAATAAAAAAAATTAACAAACCAGGGTATTCTCTCAAAGTATGTGCACCAAGGATGGTAAGATCTTCCTTGGTGCTCTGGTCTGGATTCCAATGTGCAGTTAGGCTGGCTCTCCTTAGTCTTCAGAGTTTCTGGTCTCTGCTGTTTAGTGACCCAGAAATCCCAAAAGGACTCAAAATCTTTCCTTGGGTAGAAATGTGGAGGGGCAATGCAAAAGGACCTTTCTGGCAGAGATGTGTCTCTCCCTGCTATACTTCCAACACAGCTAAAACCAAAAGTAAAACCAAACCCTTTGTCTCTGAGTTCTGGCTTATGATTTGTTCAGGTAATGTTGCTCACTAGTTCTATCTTCACGCTGAACCCTAAGCAATCTGAGAAACAGAATCCTGAATCTTTTCCACCATTGCTGCTGTAATCCAGGGCGAGTCCCCTAAATGCTCAGTGCAGTATTTCAGCAGCAGCATCTCCAGGGTGTTACATCATAACTGCTCTAAAACAGCATATTTCTGTGCTCAGTGCATGTGCAGGACATTAAAGGCAAGTCAATTAACTATATATTTACCACTTTTCACATTCTAATTTAAAAGGATAGCTGTGGTGGAGTTTAATCTGGAGCCTTTAAATTTTTGGTGTTGTTCTCAGATTTGCATATTTGTGCCCATACACTATGTAACCACATTCAGGAGCAGAGAATCCACTGAAGTGAAAGAAAAGTTGTCTCAAGGAGAATGTAAACCTCACTCGTGATCAGTTTCCACTTTTAGAAAGTTTAGTTAGCACAAATTTGACTATTGCTATTCCTAGGAAGGGCTCCCCCCGCCTTTACATTCCTTTTGATTTGTTTACTTTACACAGGATGCTCAACATTCAACCTCACACTGAGAGTCCACATCAGCACGTATTCTAGCAATTTCAGATATTCTGATGCATGATCTCTTTAGGATTGCTGCAGTGCCTCTGTGGTTACAAGGCAGCTGCATAGCTTTTGATGTCAGGGAGCTGTTGACATGCACACAAGTTTTCCAAGGTCATTTACTTTTGAGGCTGTGTGCATGTCTAATCTTTACAGCAGGAGACTAGGAGGGGAGATGTGTGAATCAAACACTAAATTTGCTGAATAGATAAATATCATATTGGCAGTATTTAGCTCATCAGAATTTACCCCTCCCAGTTTGTTGCTAACAGCCATAAGTAACTCCAAGCTTGGAGTTTATGCTAGCATCATCCCTGCATCATCACATGGAGAGCAAAAAGAAAAACTGCAGCACTGCACCTCTCCGTCTGAGAGAAATAGAAGAATTTTAGGTGAGCTGGAAGTGAAGATCCTGGCTAGCCCCACTCTTTCCTGGACCTTGCTGGTGATGGTTGCAGAGAAGATAGGACACAAGAGAATGAAAACTGCTGGGTAATTACCACACCCCCTTGATTTCAGATAGCAGAAGAAGTGCGCACACATCTGTGTGGCTTCCTAACAATCACGCCAGGCTAACTCCGTCTGTGTAGATCTTGCTAGCCTCTTTAGGATTATGAACTTCCTGGCAGATAACCCTCTTTTGCTGATATAAAGAACCCAGAAATGTAAAACAGAGCCTCAGCTTTCATTTAAATAAAAGGCAAACATTTTTAAACTTGAGTTAGGCTAACTTGGAAAAATAGGGATTTAAATCCACACTTTAGGTATCTAATGTTTGTTTGAGAGATGCTGAGCACCCCCATCTCCCACTGACTGCAGATGCTCTGCACCACTGGGAAACACGTTTGGCCACTTATTTCAGTGCCGGATTTAGCTTTCTAGGTTGAAGCATCGGAGTTTAAAAATGTTGTCTTAGCTTTCCCTTTTACTTGTCCAAAGAGCCCTGAAAATAGAGTTGTCAACGAACCAAGAGGGTTGAGAGCTTGTCACTGATTTCCCTAAAGATTACAGATTATTCACTACCCCCCCCCCCCACGGATGTCCAGGGGTAGGCCGTGATCCTGATTTTTGGAGGACTCCAAATGCATTTGGAATTACATTACTGCTGATAGCACTAGGGCTACGACAAGTTTCCTCCTGCCAGGTAGTTGCTCACAGCTAGGCTTGCACATTTGCTGAACACACAATGTGACAGACAACAAACATGGAAAGCTCAATAGTATGTTAGACAGTAGGAGCTAGTGGGCTATATGTTGGCAGAGAACAAAGAATGCTGGTATTTAACATCTCCCTCCCTTTCCATTCTTTTATACAAAATAAATTTTGTGTTTGGATGTTAAATAACCCTCCCACACCAATCACATTAGTCCTGGACAGTGGGGTGTTCATGGTAGTCAAGTCAGTTTGGTGCAGTAGAAAGAGAGAGGCATGGGCCTGGTGCAAGGCGTGAGACCTGAACCAAAGTCAGCAAAAGTTATGCTCTGAGCAACAGTCAGGCCCTGTCAAAAGCAGGTGCTTGCCTGCAAATTAGTGTCCGGTACACGAACTTGGCACCCATATTGCTAGCATTGCTAAAACACACTCTGAATATGTAAACACAGTCCAGCAGGCCAGCACAGGAACACCCCAACCTAGCACATGATAAAATGGTTTGACAAATGTGAATAGTGAAAATTTGCCTGAAACAGCAGGAGTAAAAGTACAAAGACAGGTGTTGAATAGGAATGTTTTGTCTGAAACATCAGGATAAAAGTACAAGAGGCGGTAACAAACATGTCATGAAACATGTAAAGGTGATATGTAAGTTGTTGATCCCATACTGTTTGTTTCCATCTATAAATGTTGGGATACATCACCGTAACCCTTTGTCTGGCCTAGGGGACAGTGGAAAGTCCTGCCGCTGACTGAGCTGGTCCCTTGTCACAGGCATAAGTGTGTTAGTGTACCTGTAACCATTGAGCCGGGCTACTAAACCAAGTCTTGGGGTCTTCTTATTGGTCGATTCCGTCAGAGCTTGCTGTATGGGCTATCTGGCCAGAGCCAGTACAGCACGCAAAAAGAAAACACACATGCAGCTGAACATCTGACAACATTAGGTTTCTGAAGTGATGAAGAAACACTATTTGGAAGATCCACCCAAAGCCAGCAAGGTCAGCTCTGGCCACAAACCTCGTGCTCCTTATCAACTTATCATACATGCAGTCAGCTGTTGAGCCGGCAGTTGCCTGAATCCATTCTGATGTCTTCAAGGTTGGTCTCATTTTTGAGAAAGCCAAGTGATAGGTAAGTTCTCTTCCCAATTTGTGGCATTATCAGGGTGGTGAAGTTACCTTTTTTGAGGTGGGGGGCTTAGTTCAGCAAAATCAGGACACATTTGTCCAGCTCCTATACCACTGGCACTTTCAAACTGTAGAGCAGAGAGAAGTCCCAACATGCACATGACTATTAGAAAATGAATGAGAGCGAGAGAGAGCGAGTCGCAGAACCTGGCACTAATTCAAATCCAGCTGAGGGCAAGGAAAAATAAAAGTTATTACCATTTAATGGATATTCAGGGCCTCATACAAAATGCACTGACACATCCACATCAGAGTTAGTGCACACTTGTTGACGGTTTCTAGTGGAAGCCCAGGAATGAAAAATAAAAAAAAACCTATTGACAGGGCAGAAGGAACACTCTCAGTTCTCCTTGTAGCTATCCTATGGATAAAGAAAAGACTGTCTTCACAGCTGTCAAGTTGGCATCTGTTGTTTGTAGCATTGCTGAAGCCATGTTTGTCCCAGAATATGAGAGAGACAAGGTGAGTGAGGTCATATCTTTTATTGGACCAACTTCTGTTGGTGAAAGAGACAAGCTTTCAAGTTACACAGATCTCTTCAGGCATCTATCCCTCTATTCACAGATGAAGTTTTTATTCAGCTCCTCCTTCGTAAATTCTGATTTCGCCCCAGGCCCCACTGTACACAGTCTAAAACTGGCCCTTAATTTTTTAAAAAGAAAAATGGCATTTAGGGACAGCATGTTTTTTCTCTCATTAAAATAAGTGAGAAACTCAGAAGAAAGTGGCAGTGTTCAGCAACTGTAGAGCAGAGTGCAAATGATCTGAAATTTTTATACTATCGAGTTTATTCTCATTTAACACAATATGACTGAAATTTTTTTCTGAAAATTATACAACAGAAATAAGTTTGTACACACAACCAGCTAAAGAAAATTTAATTCCTCACTGTTCTGTGATAAACTTAGTCACTAACAATATTTTGATTCATTTCAACAAGAACTCCCAGTGTATTCTGCAGCAAAGCCCTTGCATTTTGTGGCAGGCTGGTGGAAATGCTAAGTTCTACAGCACCTTTAGATAAAATATTTAAAACAGAAATTTTATTGGGTTAAGCATGAAAACGAACAATTCCTTCACTATAACTGAGGTACTTATTTTGATATTAAATTTAGTTATTTTTAAGTTTTGTCCACTTTTCCAGTTTTTAATTTGCCACAGATCACCACTTTTAGGGTTATCATCATCTTAGATGAAAGGGGAAGATTGCAGAACTCTGAATTGTTGCAGACTGTCTGCAAGTTCATGAAGACAACACTGCATTGGTTTATGTTTTGTTTACCTTTTCAAGGTCCTCTTCACAACCCATGAGAGCTAGAAACAAGAAAAAAAAAACCTATGGCACAATACTATATGGAGGGTACAATTCCATAGCTGCAAGACCCAGGAATATATAAGGCCCTTTTTATAACTATGCTAAAGTAGCTACTTATTTTCTCTAAAGAGTAGGCACATACACAATGTTTGTACTTTTGGAACTTTAATTACTCAAAAGTAATATAAAAATATTTTAAAAATACTAAAGCTTGAGAACACTGCATGATAGAAACAGTTTGAAAGTCTTCCACAACAAATGTATATGACAAAACTGATGAACAATTATTTGAGTACAATTTTTACCAGAAATATTACATAAAATGTTCCCATTTAAAATCAATAATAAAAAATAAACATTGATTACACTACAGGAAATACTAAAAATATGGTAAACTTCGCAGTTTATAACTTGTGTAGAAAGAATCTTTTGTTTTGTAATTTTATATTAGAATTGTTTGATGTAGCTTAGAAAACATTTTAACAAGTAGTACAGTCTTAATATACAGTGGCCCTCCTCTACAGTTGAGAATTTGGGATTGGCTGTAAGTGCCCATTGAATGATAGTGGTCATAGTGACAGCTGATGTTTCTTAACTTTAGCAACAAGTTATGTCTATCACAAGAGTGGATTTATGACTTCCCAGAACAATTACACAGAAATCAGTAATAGCTGTTGACAACAGATAAGGTACAAGAGAGCAAATAAATGCTTGTCTGTAGTAAGGTGATGCCCAACTAGAGGATTTTGTTTATTTTGGAATTTCTCTTATGGGAATTCACATAATGCCGGTTCCTTGTAAGAGTTGTAAGATTAGATAGGATTTGTTCTAAATGATCACTACTAAGGAGTTCTGGAGTGCTCTAGAAAATCTTCACTTTCACAATAGATTTCACAATTCAAATGTCTGAAAAAGTATATTAAAAATAGCTTAAACAGAAAAAAAAAATCAAAACTCCGTTCTCTGCAGCTTCAAAAAATTTTCCTCCAAAAAGCAGCTAGCACATGAAGTAGTTTTGAAACCTTGAAACCAAACAATTTTATCTTTTTTAAAGTAAATCAGATGCAATGAGGGAGACATTTATTTTAAACCAATTCTGCAAAAGAATTCCACAGTGCCATACTTTATAAAAATAATTACATAATTAAACTTATTACTATTACATAAAAAGCGTAAATGTGAACTTTGAAATTTTTGTTAGGGTAAGATCCATATCAATGTCTTGAGGTGAAGGACGGTTAAAAATAAAAATTTCATATACATACAGAAACTCTTTCTGGAGAAGTTCTATAATACACAACCATTTACAATGAACGAACTCATTAAGTTAGTGTTTTATTTCTTTACTATACAAATGTTATTACAAGGAATTATTCCATTCAGTCATTAAAATCCAATTAATGCCAGCAACATTTTCAGGCATTTTTACTGTAACTGTATTAATACATAAACTTGCACGATTGTGTTACCCATTTTAAAATATTCAGAAAAAATTACAATTCCATAGTGTTCTTGGTTTTTTACATAAAGCCCTTTTAAAATTTGATAATCACGCGTGTATAGAAGATAAGGGAAAATGCAAAATGATGGCACTGTTCTTACAAAGTTTCATTTAGTGGAGAGATTCAGTATGAAGAATGTAGTGTAAACATGTGAAAAACAATTTTTAGTACCAGAACTACATTGCCCACTTGCATGAAATTCATTTGTCAGATAGTGTTACACTGCTAATATGATCATCATCATGATACCAGAGAAAACCGTTTAGTTTCATAATTAAAGTATGTTAGCTTAATTTGAAAATTCCAAACTTCATGTCACCAGATGAACAGAGGACATGAAGTTATTGCTAGATATGTCAGTAGTTGAAGAAAATATCATAGATTTAGTGTGAGCTGAATGCCAGCAAAGGTTTGTCATCACTGTATTATGTCAATATTAAATATACTTTATCCGTCTAATTTTTAAGCCTTCACATTTTCTTCTCCTATTTATTCTCACTTAAATAATTCTGTGTGTAAGAGTCTTTATAGTCACGAAAAGCAAAAGTGCAATCAAATCCCTGAACTAGTGTAATTTTACATTTGTGGCACCCATCACTGTTAATACATACTAGCCACATCCCACAGTACCAAATCTGTGTTTTAATGTGTACTGTCTAAAGGTGGCCATTTACCAGCTAAGGTCTTGATCTTGCAATGAGCTTTGTTTAGGTAGTCTTCCCACACAGAGCTCATTGTAGGATTGGAGCTTAAAAGTTTACAGAATTTTAACCTCTGATTGTACTGTATGGTTTCAAGTTCAAACTTTATCATATTTTATCAACACAACGTTATAAAATATTACCTCATTTTCTTGTTATCTTCATTATTCTTAACTATGCAGAAAAAAATAAAAATGAAAAATCTCACGCTACTTTCCAGTTACATTAATACAAATATGAACACAGTGCATTATGCTCTCCAATTCCACTACTGAGGTCTAGCATTTAATCAAGTTTGTCATACACTGTTTAAATTTCTGTTTTAACCTTGTCTATCCTAATTAAGTCCATGCAAGAGGAAGCTTAAACTGAAGATTACTATCAATATCTCAGATATGGTGGTATCATCTTTAAGAAAAAGTCCATCTAATTCTGAACACAGGAAATTTTATAGACCTGGAATGGAATTGTTTGGTCCCATAAAGTTCCTTTGTTTAAATTTTTTTTTTTTTTAGGGGTTTTTCTTGCTAGTAATTGTCATGCTGACACTCACTTTACCACTGAGCAACTTCAGCAAGCTCCTTTTGGACCCTGAAATCAGTTTGGGGGGGTAGAGGGGGGAGAGATAAAGGGGCGAAATCACATCATAGGTAAGTTAGGGTATAACAGTTTAAAAGTGGTTTTGTGCAACTGTATTATGGAATTCCAGTTTGCCATTAAATGCATGCAGAGTGAAGATTTTCTTTCCTTGGATTCCTTTAAAGAAGCGAGGAACTCTTTGAAAGTCCTTTACATTTGGCAGATTTGTGCATGTTATGTAGGTTGCTGGCTTATAAATTGTCTCCAGGCTGGTACTGTGGTTCTGTAGCAGTGAAGTAGTCTTCCAAGAAAGACTGAATATATTCAAATGTTGGTCTTTCATCAGGGTCCTTCTTCCAGCACAGTTTCATTAACTCATGGAGAGACTCTGGACAGCCCTGTGGGCAAGGCATCCTATACCCACGTTCTACTTGTTCCAGAACTTCACGATTCACCATCCCTACAATAAAGAATTTTAGGTGTTAATGACATTACACAAAGAACAGTTTACAAAAATCCCTCAGCTTTTTTCTGGCATCAGACCACCTGAGAGTTAAATATAACTGTACTGTCACAAGGGACTCTTAACTATAGACACAGTCTGTTGGATTAATTTTGTAAATTTTAAAATAAGTATATTTTCTGAAATATTCAGTTACACCCATGTTTCTCAAATAGTTAGTACTGGCCCATCCTCATGCTTCTCCAAATACTTTTGCTAAAGAACATTTCCTCTTTACTTGGAGAAAATTCCTGCAAAGGACATCCCCACAAAAAGACCCTTACTCCTGTCTGGAGTTCTGTTCATTGGCCACTTGATCTGAACAGAATACTAAAAGAGATTCTGTATACTAAAGTTCAGTTGATAACTTGCCCAGAACAAAAGTGATATATAAACTCAAATCAACACAACAAAATATTTCATATTATTTACATTTATTGATCTAAAACCTGTGGAACCCGTCCATAAGGCAGCCATTTTCAACACATACTGTATAGACTCTGGCTGCAGACAGCATCAGGTTGCTGTAAGTCAGGGAAGCCCCAAATCTGAAATTTCAGAAGCGAGCAGGTAGAAAGCAAGTTTAATATTCTCCTGTACTCAGTACTCTTAAACCTTATCAGTGGGATTTAAGATACTATGGGGTTCTAAAGCATTTTACATTTAACCATGCAATAATTAAATTGCAAGGCAAAAAACTACATAATTGTAATTAGAATAAAAATTATAAAATACATTTTACATTTCAAAAAGAGTAAGAGCAGGATTTTCCAAAACAGGAGCTTAAAGTTAGGCTCCTAACTCTATATTTATCTGCCTTAATGAATAATGAAGTTTTTTTTAAAAAAAATACTCAGTACCACCCAGCTCCCACATTTTTCTGTTTTTGAAAATGTTGGCTTTTGAAGGATTCATTTATGAAAATCATCAAAATATTTCCCTAAACACAAACAGTTCAGAATTTCAGAATATACTTTGTTAGGTAAATAGCAGTCCTAGTTCAGGAAAGAGGTATTTGCTGAGATTTTCAAGACAGCCTACAAGAGCATGGTTTTGGGTGCCTAACTCACTCTCAGGCTTCTTTGAAAATCTCAGCCATAATGGTTAAGTGATACTGCTTAAGCAATGCACTTTGCTTTCTTCTCTACAGCCATGGAGGTCCACAGCTGTCCAAATGGTGTTCTGCATAGGAGTCTGTGGTCGGCAGATTTTAGAGACCTGGGGAGTAGATGCCTGCATGCTGTGGAGCCTTACTTTTTAGGGGCTCCCTGCACTTTGTCATTATGACTGGTGGAAGGGCAGAGGCAGTTCACCAAAAAAACAGAGTTAGGGTAGGGTAGGGTTACCAGATAGCAACTGTGAAAAAACAGGACGGGGTGGGGGGTAATAGGTGCCTATATAAGAAAAAGTCCCCAAAAAAGGGACTGTCCCTTTAAAAACAGGACATCTGGTCACTCTAGGCTAGGGGATCTTCCCCTCCATGATCCAGCTGCCACTGTTTCCTGCACCAAGTTGGTGCAATAGCAGTATTTGCTACTGCAGTCTCAAGGCTGTAGCAGCAGCTGCCAGAGTGGTTCCATTGCTTGGGGGTACTATATACTGCATGTAAGTTTCACCTCCAGTCTCTATAAAACCACTAGTGTTAAATCCTGCTGCTTGGGCTTGGCCCAGATAAAAGGATTTGGTCCTAAAGAAGCGGGACTAATTATGACACTCAAGTGTGGGTTAAAATATTTTAGCTTAGGACTTGTCATCTTGTCATCATAGTGTTTATTCGTACTGGATCACTGAAATAGTTTTTTGGAAATTAATGGTATGAGTCACAACAGCATTAAAATCCTGAGGTATCAAAATTATGCTAAAAGCGAGTGTTCTGGACTTGCCTACATTCTGAGAGAAGACTCTTAATTGCAAATCTTACCCTTCTGACACTCAAAATATTATGCCTTCTTTAGGAATAAATGTTGCACTCATGTCTTTTTGGTTGGTTATAGCCTGGTAAGTATTACAAATTGGTGTGGTTCTGATGCACAGGGATGCAGAATGTGTTATGATGCAGGAACTCCTCTAGTAGGTTCTATACCCTCACATATTAGAATGTTATACTTTGCAGAGCCCATCCATAGCAGCACGCAGGGAAGATTTTGAGGACGTAGCATGGCCAATGCATCCTCAATTATGCAGGTCCGCTGATCTCCTCTTCCAGCAGGTGGCAGTAGCAGCCACAGAACACTAACCTATGGTGTAAAAATACTTTACCCTCGAAACTCATAGCACTCACCCATGTACAGGGAAGAGGATTTGGCATGTAGCAATGTAACGTAACGAGTATTATGCTTTTTACAGCACTGGCAAAAACACAAGAACCAACAAACAAAACCCCCACAAAACCAACAAAAATCCAAACAGAGCAAAACCACAAATCAAACCCAAACATTTAAAAGTAATGGATATCAATCAACTACACTGATTAAACATCCTTAGCCCCTGAGTCAAGACAACTTTCTGTGACAGAAGAAAAATTTCCCAGTTTCTCAATTTATTTATTAATAAGGCCCAAGCTGCATGTAGTGTTATAGAAACAGGGCTTGACATTTCTCTTTTTGCAACTTTATATAATGGAGCACTATACACCATTGCTTTCCTCCTGGAAAATCATTTTACTCCTCTAATATTCTGTTAAAGGGTAGCTTTGCTTTCTCCAATAATATTGGAAGTAGAGTATGTTAAAATGGCTAACAGTCTAATCTATTAGGAGAAAGATAAGTTTCTTCTGTTAGACTTATTTTTGGAAAGAGGACATAGAAGCCATTCATATTTCCAGTATTCATTATTCTACCTCTGATTTAGACATAGGAGAAGTAGAAAAGAAAGGAGCAGGAGGAAGATTTCAAAGAGCTTTATTTAAGATTATACTGTAAACTGGAATAAGATCCAAATGAGCAGTTTGAGAAATTAGGACTAAAAGGAGTATCTTTTTTGAGTTTCATTACCTTAACAGGTTTCAGAGTAACAGCCGTGTTAGTCTGTATTCGCAAAAAGAAAAGGAGTATTTGTGGCACCTTAGAGACTAACCAATTTATTTGAGCATAAGCTTTCGTGAGCTACAGCTCACTTCATCGGATGCATACTGTGGAAAGTGTAGAAGATCTTTTTATACACACAGAGCATGAAAAAATACCTCCCCCCACCCTACTGTCCTGCTGGTAATAGCTTATCTAAGGTGATCACTCTCCTTACAATGTGTATGATAATCAAGTTGGGCCATTTCCAGCACAAATCTAGGGTTTAACAAGAACGTCTGGGAGTGGCTAACTCATTATGCAAGGTAACCTATTTCCCCTTGTTTTTTCCTACGCACTCCCCCCCCTCAGACGTTCTTGTTAAACCCTAGATTTGTGCTGGAAATGGCCCACCTTAAATTATCATACACATTGTAAGGAGAGTGATCACTTTAGATAAGCTATTACCAGCAGGAGAGTGGGGTGGGGGGAGGTATTTTTTCATGCTCTGTGTGTATAAAAAGATCTTCTACACTTTCCACAGTATTACCTTAACACCATAGCTCACGAAAGTTCATGCTCAAATAAATTGGTTAGTCTCTAAGGTGCCACAAGTACTCCTTTTCTTTTTGCGAATACAGACTAACACGGCTGTTCCTCTGAAATCCCATTATGATCATCATAACATACTGGTGTTATATTTTCTAATAAAGCCTTGTTTAATGCTTTCTTACCTGGATATGGCACTCTACCCTTTGTTACCAGTTCTGTCAGCAAAATTCCAAATGACCACACATCAGATTTGATTGTAAACCGACCATATAATGCTGCCTCAGGAGCTGTCCATTTAATTGGAAATTTGGCTCCTAAGACAGTGGAGAAAAACAGACACTTTTTTCCTAGATCCAGTTTGCTCACACTGAAGTATGTATGTGTTTTTGTATATACAGTAAAAGCTGTGTTATCTGGCCCCCTACCAACTGGAAAGCTCTATAAATCGGCATTTCTAATCTTCCTAGAAAGTCTGGTTTATAGTCCGGTTGGCATGGGGCCGGCAAACTCCCTACCTGGCTCCATGTGGCTCCCCGGAAGCAACGATGTTTCTCTGCTGCTCCTAGGCAGAGGCGTGGCAGGCGACTCTGTGCACTGCTGCTGCCCCTGCCACGCCTCCACCTAGGAGCAGAGGGACACATCGCCACTTGCGGGGGAGCTGCCAAGGTGAACACCCTCCGGATCCGGCACCCTACACCCCCTCCTTCACCCCAAGCCCCTACCCTGACCCTCCTCCAGCAACCAAACTCCCCCCCAGAGCCCGCCCCCTGTCCTGCGCTCCAATCCCCAGCCCCGTACCACCTTCTGCATCCAAACTCCCTCCCTCTTAGTCAAACAGCATTTTTCACTTATCAGCGCTCCGCATTCCTCCAACATGCCGGTTTAAAAAAACCACAAAACTTTTACTGTATATAATTTGAAATAAATATTGGACTACCAAGAATTTAAATTTTGCTTTGCTAGTTCAATTAGTTGGATGGCTTAATATCATTTAGTATAAAGGGATTTTTCAGACTGGAAAACATTACAGCAATTAAGATTTTCAAAAGTGACTTGTGATTTTGGTGCCCGGCTTGAGTAACTTATTTTCAGCAAGTGCTGAGCACTCTCCCACTGAAATTCAGGCCTATACAATGTGCCTCAGAGGATGGGAACCCAAAATCACCAAATAATTTTCAAAGTTTACTTGTTAGTGAAAGCTGCAGCAATTAAAGTAGTGGGAGTTGGGACCAAACATATATGCCTTCAAGGGTATGATTATTTTATATATATATATATATGCATAAACCTGTACATAGATTTATTTATACAGTAAATAAATCTGTCTTACCTTGTCTGGCAGTGTACTCATTGTCTTCTATTAACCTTGCTAAACCGAAATCTGCAATTTTACACACAAGATTGTCTCCTACAAGAATATTAGCTGCCCGAAGGTCTCTGTGGATGTAGTTCATTCTTTCAATGTACGCCATGCCATCAGCAATCTGAAAAAGAAAGGTTTTATTTAAAAGCTATATTTGGTGACCAGACTCATTTCTCCAAAAACAAACATGTAACAAGCCAGTCTTTTTGGTGCCAGTTCTGCTATATATCTGCATAAAATACGTCATCACAGCTGGCCATTATAGCTTGCTGATCATTAATAAAGTGTATTTTACTCCAGGACATCTAATAAAGAGATATTTCTTGTAGCAAATTATAAAACTTCAACAGAAGCTGTACAGCAGGGGCGGGCAAAGTTTTTGGCCTCAGAGCTACATCGGGTTTCCAAAATTGTATGGAGTGCTGGTTAGGGGATGCTGTGCCTCCCCAAACAGCCAGGTGTGGCCCGGGCTCCGAACCCTATCCAACCCCCCCTTGCTTCTCACCCCCTAACGGCCCCCCCCAGGACTCCTGCCCCATCCACCACCCCCTGCCCCCCTCCCAGATCCCCCAACCTGACTGCCCCTCCCAGGACCACTGCCCCATCCAACCCCCCCTGTTCCCTGTCCCCTGATGCCCACCCCCAGGACCCCTGCCCCATCCATCCCTCCCTCCCTGTCCCCCGATTGTTCCCCCGCCGCCCTTTCCAAACCCTCCTCATTCCTGACTGCCCCCCCCCGGACCCCACCCCATCCAACCACCCCTTCTCCCTGTCCCCTGACCGCCCCTGGAACCCCTGCCCCTGACTTCCCCATACAACCCCCCCTCTCCTTCCTGACTGCCCCTCCTGGGACCCCATTCAACCCCCGTTCTCCGCCCCCTGACCACCCCGACTCCTATCTACAACCCTGCTCCCTGACAACCCCCTCGATCTTCCCTGCCCTCTATCCACCCCCCCCCCCCTTACCCCTTACCGTGCTGCCTTGAGCATCAGTGGCTGGCGGCGCTACAGCCGTGCTGCCTGGCTGGAGCCAGCCACGACACTGCGCAGCACAGAGCACTGGGTCAGGCAGGGCTCTGCAGCTGTGCTGCCCTGGGAGCTCACAACCCCGCCACCCAGAGCATTGCGCCAGCACTGCAGTGAGCTGAGGCTGCAGGGGAGGGGCCGGGGGCTAGCCTCCCAGGCCAGGAGCTCAAGGGTCGGACAGGAGGGTTCCACGGGCCGAATGTGGCCCGTGGGCTGTAGTTTGCGTACCTCTGTTGTAAAGAGTAAAAGCATATAGAACATTCAGCTGTGATGTTCGTTGGTATATCTGTTTCACATTTTTAACATGTTTTCTATGTGGAAAATACTCATTTGTTGACTTATACAAAGTACCTGAGCAGCCATGTCAACTAACTGTGGAAGTTTTAAGCATTTCCCTTCTCCTTCTTTAAGGAAGTCTAGTAAGCTACCTGTAAAAAGAAGATAAACATAAATTAGGAAAACACAGACGCAATCATTAAGGTCTAGCTGAAAGCCTCTAAGAGGGAGTTTTTCAAAGACACAGATGGGATTTAGGTACTCAACTCCCATTGACTTTCAAAGTCCCAGTGCCTTTGAAAATCTCCCCCTAAATATTTCCTTCTCCAAAATGTAATACTGGGTTTGCACAATCTAATAGTGTTCCTTTAACTGCACACATGGGAAAATTACTAACAGCAAGTTTCATCCAATTCTGCATGCTCCTCTGTTTAAAATACAAGAATTGGTCATAAGAATGTCTCTCTTCCTTCCATATCTCGGTTACTTCACCACACTCCAGAAACAAGTGCTCACAAGGTCAATATGAAGAAAGCAGACATTAGGAATAAAATGCTGCTATGTTACCTACTGGTACAATGCCTTGGATGCTCATGGGAATCCTTAAAAGGTTTAGCCTAAACTTTAATTAATCTATACAAAATCTTGTCATTAATAGCAAAAAGAAAAGGAGGACTTGTGGCACCTTAGAGACTAACCAATTTATTTGAGCATAAGCTTTCGTGAGCTACAGCTCACTTTATCGGATGCATTGATGTAGCTCACGAAAGCTCATGCTCAAATAAATTGGTTAGTCTCTAAGGTACCACAGGTCCTCCTTTTCTTTTTGTGGATACAGACTAACACGGCTGCTATTCTGAAACTTGACATTAGTAGAACGTTATGGTTGCATGAGGAAGCACTTACAAGCCAGAAACTGCCCAAGATAACTTTGCACATGCCACCTTAACAGCGCTCTTTATTCACGTGCTTCATAGTCGATCTGTAACATGGGGATCATAATATTGACCTCCTTTGTAAAACACTGAGCTCTACTGATGAAAATTTATTTGTAAGAACTAGGTATTATTTCTCAAATAATACATTATATAACCTTAAATACATATGCAGAATCTTGCAATCCTGTATGCCACTGTATATAGCAAGTCGTCTATGCAAGTAATTTATTGAGAACACAATATTTAAATATAAATGAGGTATTTCATAAAAAACGTACATCAAAAGAACGTTAAGACTGCAAAACCAAGCACTCTAAAGTTTAGAAACGTGACTTAACTCAGCGACCGTATGCACATGCATTACAATACAGTCTTTAATTACATGATCCCAGTATTTTTTCTACTGGGCCATCCATCTCTTCCCAGTTCTCATCCCTCTGTCGTTGAACAAGCCAGGCTAAATGGGAGACAGCAGGGGGAGCACTGAGAGCAAAGAAAGTGTTTCATTGCCCTCAGATCTGGTAACTGGTGCCAGAGTGGCCACCAGCAGCAAGGAGAAACAACTGCAGGAAAAGGCTTGCTCAGCCCCTGCAGCACTGGGATGGCGCAAGATCAGTCTGGTAGGCACACAGAAACTGTGTCAGGATGGAACATGTTTAGTACAGACAGAATCTTTGAAGAATAATGCTGCCAGTCAATAGCAAACATGTTATTGGGCATGTGCAAACTGAAAAGATCAGAAATGTATAATTTGGCTAAATTTGGGTGGATTTTCCCACAGGGACAGCAAGAGATACATTGCTGACACGAGCTTGACACCTTTGCCAAACTTCAGGTCCCCGACTCTAAATCATGGATACAGGACAGCTTTTCAACAAAATGGTTGTAATTAACATGGACAAAAATAACATTTTCCTATAACCTCATTCAAGGAAACAACAAAACCATTTTGCTGAAACGTAATATATATTTTTTCCCCAGCCAGAGGTAGACACTGTCAATGGAAAATTTCCGCTGGAATTGTTGAAGTTTGCCAAACTAATGAGGAACTGAAAATAGGGTAGAATAATGGAAAGCATCAGGCAACCTTAACTATATAGATGTCTCTATCAGAGCTATATATTCAACAGTATAAAAGTGAAATGTGCTGGCATATATAAAGGGATTAAAATTACGACATTAATTCTTTCAATGACTATATCACTATCATCAGTGCTTCATTAATACATCTGACCATAAATGCACTATTAAATTAAATATTTAGCACCTGCAAACTGGAGCACCGTCATTTTTAGTTACATAGTACCCTTTGCTTTCATCAACTTAATTTAAAAGCATATATGTATATGTACAGAAAACATTACATTTGGTACCAAAGTGAAAATTTATCCAACCAGCGTACCAACAGTATTGTCTATGGTCTGGAAGCAGCTGGATTAAATGAAACAGACATTAGAAGGCTGGAAGCAGTAGAGATGAGAGATCTTCAAAAGATGGCAGGAGTAAAGTGGAATGATTTTAAGACAAATGAAGAAGTTAGGAGACTAGAATGTAAAAATCAGAATATGGGATTGGCTACAATCAAAAAGATTATGATGGTGGGGACACTGCAGAAAACAAACACATGATAGGATGCCAGAAAAATAATATAAACACAACCAAGGTCAGACCTAGAGGCTGAAAAGTAACCAGATGGCAGGGACACGACATCATACACAGGGACACGACCAGGCTAGGCTTAACGGAGGAAGAAGGCATAGACAGGAATGAATGGCAATGCTGTACTACTCCCTGTGCCTGCAAAGGTGCTCCAGGATTAGAAGAAGATAGGAAACACTCTATCTGCCACTGAAATGCAATAGCTCCTTACGTGAAATATCATGGCTATTTGTAAACGTAAATAATATTTCAAATGAGGACAGTAAAAGTAATAGGGCACACACATCCTATATTGACTATGTTAAATAATACCCTTTGCACTAGCTAAATGGACTGCTACTGGACAACTGGAAGCTAATAAATTCTTAGGTCAGGAAGCATCCTTACATCATTGATGCTCCTTGTCAGCTACCTACACCATTTAACAAAAACAGAGACATTTTATATAATGTATAATGCTTTGTTTGCAGCCTCTTTCACAGTGAAGAAGAAATAAATTATTTACTGCATAACTAAATACATTCAGGTGTGTTTAGAGTATAAATTTTTTTTTTTTAATTTTTGGATGTGAATTAAGTTTCCCTAAAATACATTAAGGAAGTTATTCTGCCACTCAACCTCAATTATATATTAGGGAAATTGTAACGTTACACAGTTGCAGTTTTTGCTTTGAACGTATCAAAAACAGCAATGTTGTTTGTTGTACTTTCTTTTTGATTCCAAAATCCATCTCCCCTCCTCTAAGATACATATTTTAATAGTCTTTCCTCAACTACATATCACATTTATACAAAGAACACTAAAACATTAGTACTGCTTGAAAGGAGTTGCAGTGATTTAATAACTGACCATAATTTGTACTCCTTAAAAGGCAGCAATCTTAAATCTTGGTCTCTGATATAGAAGCTTGCCCACCTGTAAGCATACTATAGGTATTCAAGAAAATGTTCTCTTTAGTATGAAAATATGTTAAAATTCTAGAAACTGGAGTAATTTAAGAAAGTCACACCTTCCAAAATGGTAAAGACAAAAATGGAATGAAAAATGTTAAAAATAAACAAGTCATAGACTTTTCAGAGCAATCTCATCATTGTAACTGCCACAAGTTTAAATACATATGATATATTTATAATCGCTTGCTACAATTTTCTGTTTAAAGGAACAGCGATGGGCCAAACCAGGATCTCTGTGGTTGATGTTCTGCACTAAATTCATGAGACACGAGATTTCCATACCCTGTTTCTTGGGGAAGGAGTATTGTGGAGGAGCAAAGACCTTACTCCAACTTCTAGTAATCTGCCTGACCAGGAACAACACTGTTGGGCTCTGTCGTGCTTCCATGCAGCTCTCTTTTCCTTGAAAAAGACTGTTTTAATGCTGGGGTCTCTGAGGCTAGCTAAATTAACCCTGAGAGGTAGCACTGGCAATTCTCTTGGGGTGGGGTGGGAAAAGCAGTGCAAATAATGAAAAATAATTACAAAAAACCCAAACAAAACACACCAAAACCCAACCCCAACAACCTGATTTGATTAAAATGCCACAACCTTCTTGTTTCAATGGCTTTGTGCTACTGGGGGTAAATATTAACAAAACAGTTTATGCACTAGTATAAAATTGATTCCCTCCCCCCTCCACTGGCTTTTTACATTTTCAGAAAAATAATGAACAATTTGTCTAAGATTAAAATGGAAACTAGAGTTTTACATTTGTAATATCGAAAACTGCACAGTTGATTTTTGAAATACTTTAGTAAGCCTACTTTGTTTTGGCAATGTTCCAATTCAAGTTTTAATTTTTGCTTTGTACCATCCCATCTCAAGTAAGTAAATAAATACATAAATGGCTTATTCTAAACAGTGAAACCTGATTTCACAAGGCTGTTTTAAGATCTGCCATCAGAGAGACTGCTTCATTTCATTCATTTCCATTTTGTTTTTATTTTTAAAGTTTGAAATCTTCAGTTCCTCTCCACCCTATCTGGCCTGATCCAAAACTTTAAAAATATTTCATATGCTATATGCGCTTTGATATAATTTGTAAATTTTATAATTTCAGTTTCTGACTTCAATCTGATTTCTATCCTCCTAACATTGCCACAACTCTCTCCAAGATAAGCACAAGAGATCAAATTCTTCAAAAATTAAAGTACTTGATTTGGGACCTGTTCTTTTTAAAGATTGTTTAATGCTGGAAGTAAACATTTAAAGCCTATTACACACATCCTGAACCCTTAAACTTCTCTCTTTTTGGGGCGAAGGGTAGCTTGGGGAAAAAAGATGAGGAAAGAGCACAGCAAACAATTTTAGTTTACTGTTTAGTTTGCAGAACTATTGCAAGTAGATCAAACTTTTGCCCTACTAGCCTCAACAGTGCTTCTTTTAATTTCAAAAAGTTTTATTGATTCAATGGGATAATTACAAAGACTTCTGCCACTAACAGGCATCTCTGCCACATAGATCCTAGCAACTAAAAATCTGGATCTTTTGTAAAACTCATCTGGTTTAGTTCAGTAAAGAAACAGGTTATAGCAGATTTGAACAAATCATGATAGCACAAAATTAAGAAAAAAAAATCAGATCCAACAAAGATGATTTCAGAACCTATCATATGTTAAAATCTAATCACAAATTCACATGCTGGGCTAGGTTTACACATATCAGTATTCAACATGAATCAAAATATACCTTTTTTGGTTACTGGGACTTTTATTAACTTTTAAACTTAGTGCCTTCCAGTTAATATCACATACCTTTTGTCATAAATTCAGTGACTATGAAGATTGGCTCCTCAGAAACAACAGCATATAGTGGAACAAGTTTATCATGTCGTAATTTCTTCATGATCTGAGCCTCCTGCAGGAAAGCTTCTGGCATCATTGTACCAGGTTTTAGTGTTTTGATTGCTACTTTTGTGGTTCCATTCCACGTTCCTAAAGAAAAAAGTACATTTTACTGCCTCAGCTATGCTTCTAAAAGGTTTTCAACTGAAACTGCTTTTATTCTTTGTTTCAATTTTTTTTTTTAAGGGGATAAAGCAGTAAGAACTATACTGAAAATTAGCTTTGAATTTTACTATATATAAATATACAGAAGTACCAAATACATGTAATGAGGGCATAATTTAATTATGGAGATCTAGTAAATTACAAAACAAAATTCTTTGTGTAGTCATGTGAACAACTGAGATGGAATTATTAAAGCTCAGTTTTCAAATGAGCTTTATTCTGATTCCCCTCATGCTTGTTGGGGTCGTCTCCTCCATTTATTACTTCTTGTTGCCACCTTTTCTCCTCCTAGCATACCCGTGATTGCCATTACCTCCTCACTCTTCCTTTATGGTGGCTGGACTGCTTCATACCTGCTAATCCCAGAGTCCTTGCTACTGGCTAAAGCTCATCATTCATGGTGTGAATTCATATCCAAAAATTACAGGAAATTTTGCATTGAAAGCACTTTCCTTGACACATATCACTGCTATTAGTAATTTTGCCTTCAATTCTTCATCAGATTATCTTTCCAGACTATGATATTTTAGGTAAAAATAAATAATTGCAACAGGATAGGTGCAAATATCATACTCTTACCCATCCATACTTCCCCAAAGCATCCTTGGCCCAGCTTAACTTCTAGCCGCAAAGACTCTCTAGGAATTTCCCAGGCATCTTTTGATAGTCCCTGGGTCTGGGGTTTCACAGTTGGACACACAGTTGTTAGTTTATGACACAGGCCATCAGCATGCTCTGGATAATTGGAAAATGAAATCATTTAAGTTAAATAATATGCGAAAGACTATGATAAAAGAAAATAAAATACAAAGAGTGTCTAACAAAGTTATCTGTTGCATTTTTTTTGCCATTGCTAAAAAGAGCTTTATTAATAATAACAACAACAACAACAAAAAAAATCAACACACTTTCCAAAAATATCACCAGCCACATAGGGTATGTCTACATTGCAATTTTACGCCCAGGGTTGGTGGGACTTGAATCAGCTGAGCCATGTTAGAGAACTCTGGGCTTCAGCATACACACTGATTCTTAATCCGTTAAAAGAAAAGGAGGACTTGTGGCACCTTAGAGACTAACCAATTTATTTGAGCATAAGCTTTCATGAGCTACGGCTCATCCGATGAAGTGAGCTGTAGCTCACGAAAGCTTATGCTCAAATAAATTTGTTAGTCTCTAAGGTGTCACAAGTCCTCCTTTCCTTTTTGTGAATATACACTAACACGGCTGCTACTGTGAAACCTGTCATTAATCCGTTAAGACTCTTCGCTGCAGCGTGCAAACCCAAATCAAACTGGCCATACCCCAGAGTCCCTAGCACCCTCACAAAACGTGGCTGCTCTAGCACTGTGGGAAAACTTTATTGCCCACCCTGCATGTTCCAGGAAGTTTGAACAGCCCAACACCACAGGCTACTGAGCAGACTGTCTATGCACTCCCAGCTACCAAAGCCAGCAACATGGAGGTGGCACCTTTTGAAGAACTTCTCTGGCTTGCACTTTCACTCCTGTGTCAGGAAACAGGTAGAGCATCCATGAGGCTCTGGTGGACATTTTGGGTGTTTTCGGAACCACCAAAGGCACCTGACAGGGCTTAGGATAGAGCAGGTGGAGGTCTACCCAGGCATTGTGGACTTGCGCTGGCTGATGCTGCTCAGTACACTCGGTATAGCCATTGATGCCCCCTATACAAACCGACGCTTCTTGTGCAGAGCCATAAGCACAGACAGGTGGGATCACATCATCATGCAGACCTGGGATGACCAGCTGTGGGTCCCAAACTTTCTCATGAAGAAGGCTACATTTCTGGAGTTCATAAGGAGCTTGTCCTGACCCTCCAGCGTAAAGACAGGTCTGTTGCCAACCAGTTTGGTGTCGGAAAGTCGATTGTGGTTGAAGTGGTAGTGGAAGTTTCTGAGGCATTCAGACGTGTGGTTTACCCCATGTGGGCATAAAAGATAATCCTGAGGTAACTGCTGACTTTGAGAGAATGGGGTTTCCAAAGTGCACCAGAACCACTGAAGGGACTTATAGTTTGCCCTCCTCAAAAAACAGGAGTACATAAACCGCAAAGGGTTCTACTCCTTTGTTATGCATGCCCTCATGGACCACAGAAGATGATTTATGGAATGTCAACAAGAGTTGCATTGGGAAGATCATGATGCCAGGGTTTTTCGCCCATCAAGAGTCTGTATTTATGGACAGGCTGGGACACTCTTCCCATCAAATGACATGATCATAAATTGACTTATTGTCCCTACCATTATTCTGGGGAATCCTGCCATGCCCCCCCACCCCCTTTTGCTTTGACTTATGAAACCATACTCTGATTTCAGAGGCGCTGGCAAAAGACGGTCAGCAGGTGTACAACAGTTGTGGAATGTTCATTTGAAAATCCCGTGGAGATGTCTGTCTACCGACCCATTTGGATGTCAGGGTCATCAGTATTGTCCAAATTATTGTGATGTGCTCTTCACAATCTTTGTGAAACCAGAGGTGAGCCATTTTCCCCTAAATGGACTATGACAGTAAGAGGCCACTGAATTGGCACTCAGCCAGAAAGTGCACCTACCACAGCTGGAGCTTGATGCACCCAGGCTACAGAATTTGGGGATGGTTTGTGCTCTCACATTATGAACTTACATGACACAATGGAAGAGGGGGAACAGTACCTTTCTGAATGTGCTTGTGGATGGGTGGGGATGCGGGTCATTGATTCTGAGGGATTTCAGTGCTTGGGGAGTGGTGGGGATTTGATTGCCATGCAGTGTATTTATGAATGATGTGACCATTTATGAAATGGGGGCCAGGGGCTGATTCACAGTATGGACTGATGCAGGGAAGTGGTTGAAATATAGATTTATGTAGATAATCACATTGAGGAATGGTGTTTGCTCCGATCATGTGTTTAACTTTATTATTTTAAATACACATTGTATGATGTGATGCAGTGATAGCAACACACTTTCTTGATTAAATAAAAGCTTTATTTATAAACATGTATTAGAAAAGTACAACATTTGCCCATTGCCAGGCAGCCAACTGCCATTACTAAGCCAAACATCAATAACAGAACCTTTAAGAAAAAGCAAAACACAGAGTGCATGAACAAGTGCAAAGAGTGAAACCATCTACAAGACAGAAGCCCCTTACTGTTGCATGTTCCCTGCCCCCCCATTCTCCTTTCCTTGTTTGTCGTGCACTTGGCAGTAGGGGTGGAGGCATCCATATGGGAGGGGGTCCAATATGGAGGACTGCATGGGGTAAAATAACCCTGCCTAGCCACTGTTCATGGGGCTCAACTGCATGGGGCACCCAGCCATGGAGTTTTCCAAGCTGTTTCTGGACTGCATCACAGGGGGACTGAGGCTGTGGCGTTGGTGATGCAGCAGGAGCCACTACTCGTGACCATTAGTGATATCAGCTGCTCAAACAATTATTTCTGCTGAGGTCTGTCCTCCATCCTTATCTGCCATTCCTGTTCCAGGAACTGCGAGGCAAGCGCCTGCTCTCTCACTGAAACCCTGCCCTCAAGCTATACAGCCAGCCATTTCCTCTCACCGTGTCTCTCCTCTAGCCATAAGTTCCTCTCTGTTTATAGTACTGGACCTGCTTGTTGGCCCTGTCCAGAACTTCAACAACAAATTCATCACGGAAATGCTTCCTCTTGGAATGGTCCATGACGACACTGACCCGGGCGTCTGCTGCAGTGTGGGTGAGCTGTGGAGGTACCAGAGCCAGTAGAGGTCAAGGGGCCTGGAATAGGACAAGACACAGAGGGCTATTGTCTCAATAGCTCACTGCAGGAGCATAGAAATTGTGGAAATTCAAAGGACAAAACTTTACTTTTCCAAACTGAACTTTAATATATTGTAAGAGGAATGCTTCAGACCACAGAAGTTCCCTGGACACTGCCTCGTTAATCTCAGCTAAAGAAGTGCAGAGGCAATGATAAGTTAAAAATTCAAAGCGGTTTTTGTTTTCTAAAAATTGCAGAACTACTTGGGTTGGGGTGGGGGGTGCCATCAACAGCCATGCTACAAAAGCTTTTTCTATTATTTCAGGACTTCCACATTTTGGAAGATAACAGTTGCTGTGGTGCCCAATTGGCAAAGGAGATTTTATTTCAAGCTACTGTTGGGACACCTGCAGTGTATGCACCTAAGTATTCAAATGTGTGGTGAGTGAACAGCTCATCTATGAATGAAGTGCACTGGTCAGCTACTAGGGTGGCCGTGGAAAATATGCCCTTCCCCAAAATGCGACTGCCTATCTGGAGTTCCTGCTTCAGGACAAGTTTGCAGCTATCAGCATCTGGGATTGGGTCAGAATTCATAAAGGGGACTCAACAGGATGATGTATTAGCTTTCATATGGCTTAGCCTGTATGGAAATACACAGAACTCCACAGCCAGTCTCCTTGTCTCTCCCCCCACCCCCATTTCTGGACAAAATTTCAAACCCCACTTGAATTTGGAGCAAATGAATTTTTTCAAAAATGGACTGCATGGACCTATGGACCTTTAATTGAAATGGACTAGATTTGTAAATGGAACACATTCACTCCCTTTCACCCCGGCCCCATCCACCCATCCAGATCACTGTTTTCAGGCGACTCGTTACACTGTTGAGCGGTTACAGAGCCACATACTTATAGGCCTGGCAATGTAAGGTTACTTTTAAGAAATAGAAATGCCCTAGTAAAAATTCACTTTCAAGATGTTTTTATTGTTTGCATGCCATTTTGAACTCCACATAGTGGAAGGTAGGAAAGGGTGCAGCCAAGCCACTGGTGACATAAAATCTGCCATTAGCGGATATACACTACTAGCTGGGTCCTTTAATAACTATTGCACTGGTTCATAGGATGGAAATCCCTCCTATCCCTATAGTAATATAACATTAAAATGGAGCCAGAAACTTACCAGGCCCAGGGGCAGCTTCTGTCCCTTCCGTGTCGGCTGCAGGCTCCGCAGTGGGCTGTGCCTCGGCGGGGGGACACGGGGGGGGGGGGGCGGGCGGCGAGAAGAGAAGAAATCAAACTGCTCCTTTGAGTATGGCCCCAGGATGTGCTGCTGCTTCTCCTACTGCAAAACCTCCTCTGGGACAGTTTCAGTAAGAGTCACTTCACTGTCCTCACTCGGCACCTGCTGCTGGCTCCTATCAGTCCTAATGTTGGATTCTGGGGCTAGAAGGGCGCCATTCTGGCTGACTACATCATGATGCGCTACTGTTGGCTCCATGTTCAGTGCAGTGCCCAGCATCCAGTCAAACTCCATATAAAACAGGCATGATGCTGGCAAGTTGTCCAAGGTACAGTTCTGGTTCCTGTTTTCATGTACTCAGTCTTGAGCCACTTAACCCGCTCTGGTTAATTTGCAATGCTGCCAGCTTCTTTGTTATTTGCTGGTATCTGTAGTCATTCCTGGTACCCTTACTAAAATCCACTCTTTTGCTCGCCTCGCTCTAGAGATGCACCAAAATCTGGCTGTACACCCATGACCATGAAGCAGTGCACTTTGCAAAAGACTTGTTCTGATCTGTCTCCACTGCGAACACAGAAGGCTCTCTGATGGTATGTCTGCAGCTCAGTGTTCAGAAGACAACAGACAGGTTAAACGCTGACTCATGGAGCTGCTGCACTACACCATTTCCCTGGAGTCAACAGGAGATTTTTGGGATAGAAAGGACAATGGAAGTTGTTCCATGGGATACTTTTGTCAGACTCCCAGGGTCCCGAGGTGATGTGTGTGTGTGCACGCGCGCGCTGTGTCTACATTGCAAAGTAATAGGGCTAACCTTTGGTCCCTGCTTGATTCCTAGGTCCGAGCCTGAGAGATGAGTGTGTAGACAAAAGGGGAGTTTGGGCTCAAGCCTGAGTGAGCCCATTGCAATGTAAACATACCCACGTACCATTTATTCAAATTTCTTTTCTTGTAAAAACCATTAAACTAGTATTGGACTGTAGGGACTTGAGCCTACCTGTATAGTGTTTAACCAACTTCTGTAGAGACTCAAATTGTGCTCTGGTTGTGATATAGTATCCACCACTGTCAAGTTTTCTGATTTTGTAGTGTTTCACATTATCGCCTCTGACCTCATCCCAGTCACGTATAGAAAGAGAATAAGCACCTAGAAAAAACAGTTAAAATGTTGTTTCTTACCAAAAAAAAAAAAAAAAAAAAAGTGTACACATATGAAACAATTAAATGAAACAATTAACTCTTTTGCCATAGAGAGGAAGTAAGCTTAAAAAAATACCTTTAGTGGTTTCACTCTCTCGTACTAAGAAAATACCACGTTGGTTCCCAGGATTTAAAAGTAATCTCTCTGCATCTTTCCTGCCCATCTTACCAAAATACCATCTAGAAGAAGTTAAAGAAAATATTTGATAAGGTTAGTGAAGATACTGTGGTAATAATCTGCATAAAATAGCACTATAAATTCTGCTTGTATAAGTTTCACTTAATTTTTTTTCAAATCTTAGGGGCCTTTCATATAGGCCCTTACACCTAAATAGGCAGCAAGGTCTTGAGATACAGATGCAATGCTGCTTCATCATCATTACTCACATGGTGATTTATAACAGAAGGCCAAACACTAAAGCGTTTCTGCTCATAATGCAAACTCCCAAACACTGATATTCATCTAAATATAGTTCTCATAAATCTATACCACTACTAACTGTTGGACTACTGATAAGGAACAGCAGGGATTAAAGTATCTGACTTCACCCTGAACAGCAAAATCTCTGGACTGAGCTTCCATTCACTGGAAAGAAATTCTGACTTCTAAATTAACAGGCACTGTGCTAGCATATTTTACAGGTTATATTTTTCTATTCATTTCATTGAATCATAGAAATACAGGGGCTGAAAGGGACCTTGAGAAATCATCAAGTCCAGCCCCCTGCACTGAGGCAGGACCAAGTAAACCTACACCATCCCTGACAGGTGTTTGTCCCACCTATTCTTAAAAACCTCCAGTGATGAAGGTTTCACAGTGTCCCTTGGGTGCCTATTCCAGATCTTATCGACCTTATAGTTTGAAAGTTTTTTCTAATATCTAACTTAAAACTCTCTTGCTTCAGATTAAGTTCATTACTTTTTGTCCTGTTTTCAGTGGACAGGGAGAACAACTGGTCAGGTTTCCTAAAGCTTAATCATTTTTGGTGCTCTCCACTGGATTCTCTCCAGTTTATTCACATTTTTCCTGAAGTGTGGCACTCAGAACTGGACACAGTACTTCAGCTGAGGCCTCACCAGTGCGGAGTAGAGAGGGATGGATAATTACCGTATATACTCGTTCATAAGCCAAATATTTTTTGGTAAAAAAGTGATGCATCAAAGAGCAGAGGTCGGCTTATAAATGGGTCTACACCAAAATTTGATTTTAAACTCTATGAAATCATTGAATTGAATATCTAATACATTGTCGTTTTGTTTACCTGGAGCGTCTGCAGGCATGGAGCACATCAGTTCCTTGTGGCCGCGCACTTCCCGCAGCTCCCATTGGCTGGGAATGGCGAACCGTGGCCACAAGGAACTGAGGGGCTCCATGCCTAGACGCTCCAGGTAAACAAAACGTCCCGACCTGCCAGCGGCTTACCCTGATGGGCTGGGAGCCATAAAGTTTGCCAACCCATGAAATATAGGGTCGACTTATGAAAGGGTCATACAGTTTTTACTATTTTTACCTATCCATTTTGGGGGGTAGGCTTATAAATGAATGGGCTAATGAACGAGTATATATGGTAACTCCTGTGTCTTACATATGACAGTCCTGTTAATATACCTCAGAATAATATTAGCTTTTTTCACAAATGTATCACATTGTTGACTCATTCAATTTGTGATCAACTATAATGCATTATATCCTTATCAGCATTACTACCTCCCTAGCCACTTATTCCCCTTTTTGTAGTTGTGCATTTGATTTTGCCGTCTAAGTGAAATACTTTGCACTTGTCTTTATTGAAGCTCATCTTGTTGCTTTCCGACCAACTCCAATTTGTCAAGGTCATTTTGAATTCTAATCCTATCCTCCAAAATGCTTGCAACCCCTCCCGGCTTGGCGTGATCCGCAAATTTTAGAAGTATGTTCTCCACAAGTCACTAATGAAAATATGAATAGCACTGGACCCAGGACTGACCCCTGCAGGACCCCACTAGATACACCCTCCCAGTTTGACAGTGAACCATTAATAATTACTCTTTTCATACGGTCTTTCAACCAGCTCTGTACCTACCTTATAGTAATTTCATCTAGACCACATCACTAGTTTGCTTATTAGAAATGTAATGTGGAACCGTGACAAAAACCTTATTAAAATCAAGACATAGCACATCTAGTGCTTCCCCCTATCCACTAGGTCAGTAACCCGTCTAAGAAGGAAATTAAGTTGGTTTGGCATGATTTATTCTTGACAAATCCATGGCTGGCTCTTCCTTACAACCCTATTATCCTACAGGTGCTCACAAATTGATTAAATAATTTGTCCCATAATTTGTATATATTAATATAGAAAAAGAAGCCTCCCTCTGTAAGCTGTAGGTTCCTCTGATGTGTTAACAGAACATAACAAAACCCAGGATCAAACCTAACACCTTCCTCTGACCTTCCTCAGAGACTGGGCAAGGAGGTCAGAGTGGTGTTAGCACTGGGCAAGGAGGTCAGAGTTAAGGCTCCTTTACACTGCCAGAGTGGTGTAAAGGAGCCTTATTGTGAAGGACATTTTTACACCTGTTTTATACTCCTGGGGGAATTCACTATGAACAATGGAAACAATTCACTAAGCAGGCAGGCTGCTACATTCTACTCTGCCTGAGGGGACAGAGCCTTCCCCAAACCTACCTCCTCAGAAACACCCTAAAGCCTTGCCCCTCCACACTGAACATGCTGCAACAGTGAGCAAGAAGGACAGAGTGTATCTCTAACTACCCAGCCCCATTGCCCTGGCAGTTATTTACATCTCTGCTGGCTGTTCTGGGCACTCAAACTGATCTTCCTGAACTGCTGGAGAAGGGCATGTGACCACTCTTGCAGCTTCCCTTTGCTTCCCCATCAGAAATAATTTTTCTGCGGGGAAGCAAAGGGAAGCTGCAAGAGCGGGGAATAATTTTTCTGCGGGGAAGCAAAGAAATCTACGGGGGCCAGGAATTCTGTGCATGCCCAGTGATGCAGAGTTCCCCCAAGAGTAACTCTTTGGGCAACATCTCACTTCTAGAAACAATCCCCAAAACTTGGATATATCAGCACTAGCATCTCCATTGATGCTACTGCTTTGCCATCACAGGTGCAGCACTGCAGCCGTAGTAATTCAATTAGGAATTTTAAATATTACTTTTTTGGTTATATAGAGCAGCATTTTGTAAGCAGCTGAAAGATTTAATTTTTAAGAACAAATGTTTGTCTCTCTCTGATGCAGCTGCTATTCAATATTAAAGGGCCAGGTAGTGGCAGCAGAAGCAGTAGTGATATACTGAAGTCTCAGACTGAGATTCAGGAAGCAAGCTGGGAATTGGGCTTCTTTCCCAGAAGTGCAGTGAGATGTGTGAAGAAAAGGACTGGAAGAGTCCTGACCACATAACAGGGCAATGAAAGCTGGGAAACACTCCCACTGCTAGCATTGTGGAGGCAAAGGCAGCAGAGCTCTGTAAGTCTTAACGCAATAATTAGGTACCCACTACCTAGCAAACAAGCACTACCTGAGACATCTCAGAATCCCTAAAGAAACTTCAGGTGATTCCTTAACTACTACATTAAAGATTATGGGCTGTGTCTGTCCTCAATTGTAAGAAGTGCTGGCAGTAAAAATGGTAATGTTGCCTCAATTCTCACTGATCTTTGGGGATGCTGAGCAATTTTCTGTCCCCTCACACAGATCTGTCCCAGAGATTTGGAGGAATCAATGGCTTTAAACCCTGAACAGCTTTGGAATGCCATCCATGTAAAATGTTTGCTTAGAACTTTGAGTTCACTCACTATCAGGGTGATGGAGCCTGTTGGGTTTGCCCACCTAGTTAACAAACAACATTTTATCAACTGCATTCCAAAGTGTGCATATCTTGATTGAGAAACAGATGGCTGTTAGATGTAAGCAATAACACATTGAAGGGTATGTATACCAATTCAGTTATCTTCACACTCAGACATACTCAGGTTTTTAAACACAAACACACACATATAAACAATCTCATACGTATTAATGCATTCCATTAAAAAGTCACATATCTATACTTGTTACTATTTAAGTAGTATTCCCATCCATTAATTAGTGAGAAGTATCATATTCATACTTTCCCGAATTAAATGTTATCTTGCTACTCTGAAACCTGCTACTTATATGGCACTGTAGTAAATTAGTTCCTACGTATAATTCTTTGGTAGTAAATTATGGGCAAAAGTGACTGACAAAAGACTGAATAATGCCTTACTCTTCTGCCTGAATGGAGTCTGCAGGAGCTACATAATTGCTCGGGATGTAGCCAGTCTTTCCTGTAGCAATGGATCTTGCTTCCCACCAGTCTCCTTCCCTGAAATGCAATAGCAATTATCTCTAAATTGCATAAACTCTTACAAAGTGATGTATTATCATCCACAAATATTCAACTCAGATCAAATTTTAGCCAATGCAAAATTAAATTTAGAGGACAATCATCCCAACTAGAATGCAGTACCTGCCAGTAAATTTTTCACTTCATCATAAGCTGCATGTGTACATCTTAATTTCATTTCATATTTTAAAACAGAAATATGTACAAGAGAAAGGCATTTACTGACATATAAGGTGTAGAGTAATAGACTGCTTTGTTATATGATTATTAAGCAAAGATATTGCCGTTCCAGTTATATATTGCAAAGTTAAATTTTTAGGAAGGTTTTTTTTTAGAAGTGCCTTCTAATCACTTTCATACATTTCAGACAAATATTTGCCACTGTTGACAATCTGGAAAAAATGGCACCTCGTGATGAACAGGATTAAAAAAACGCTAAAAGAAAAAAAAAACCTGATGAATGCATTTATAATGTTGTAGAAAACTGTCAACTATAGATACGCAAATTAAGAGATGTTCCAGTGCTAGCACACTTTATGGCAATTTAGACATCTCAGAGTGCTTTCTCCATCCTTTAATTCCCAGTTTTTAGACAAGGAACAAAATCCCAATTACTCAAGACAATAGCAAAAGCTCCCCGTTGACTTGTGTGAGGACAGGACTTCACCCAAAGAGTTTAAGTGATTTGTCCAAGGTCACAAACCAAATCTGTGACTGCGTAGGGAATGGAACCCAATTCTCTAGTCCTTTTCTGTTGAATCCAGATCTTTAAGTACTGTTATGTAGCTACCACAGCAGGCTGCCTTTATGTACACACTGAGCTACAAGGGAGGGACAAAGTAAATAAATACAATCCTGTGTACAAATTTTAGATCAGAGAATTATATGAATTCAGCATATTGTCACATGTAGTTCTAGGATTGCCAACCCTCCAGGATTGTCTTGGAGTCTCCAGGAATTAAAGATTAATCTTTAATTGAATATTATGTCATGTAATAAAACCTGCAGGAATACGTCCAACCAAGATTGGCAACCCTGTGATTCAAAGGAGGGATCTGAATCCATATCTCCCAGGCGAGTGCCTTAATCACCAGGCTACAAATTTTCCCCCTTCTTTGGCCCAATGAATATTTAAGTATTACACAAGTGGAACAACTTCAACTGAAGTGGTTGAGAGCAGCCCACCCCAGAAAATCCTATAGCCCATTGGCTAGGATGCTCACCTGGGAGGGGGAGATCGGAATCCTTGCTCCAGAGTTGAGATTCAAACTTGGGTCTCCCACTTCCAGGCAAGTGCCGCAAACACTGAACTAAAAAGGTCAGAACGCCTCCCCCCCCCCATTTGTGGATGACACAAATTGGGCTTTTCCAGTTTGCTGACAAATTCAAATTATTTTCAGAATTAAACCAAGTATTTTTCTCTGAATTTTGGTTTGCTGGCCAAATTGGAAAAAAAAAATTAAATTTACCCAGCTCTAATTAGTATGTTAATGTAGTCCTCTTAAGCCCATATTTATGGAGCTTTGTAAATCAGGTGAAAACCTGTCTACTCTTTGTTGAAAAATCTTAAAGGTATCTTGAAGGTATTTATTTCCAAAGTAACACTAATTATAGAAGTCTCTGACAGAAAATACTTACGTGTTGTTTATTATCTGGAACCGTTCACCCTTCTTAAACGAAAGATCATCTGTAGTTCTAGCTTCATAATCATATAAGGCCACAAAAACAGTTACACCACCTTATGAAAAGAAAAAGGCATATCATATAGCAATACCACTAAGATTAATTTTTTTAAAAAGCAGTCTATGACAGCAGCTAATCAATTTTGCTTTGAAAACAAACAAAATGTTCTCTGCATACTAGATCCTGTCAAGCTGCAAAAGCTGACTTATCAATAGACTGGCTAACTTCTTTTCATTAAGAGGGAATTTACATAAAGAGAATCCTCAGATAAGGTGAGTTGAGTTATAAAAAGAAAATACAAACAAGATTACAGCAGTTCACTAGAGAATCAAGAGTGGTACTTCCAGTCAGACCATATACAGGGCTTACTATACACAAGACATCAAGAATGATAAAACTCAAAAGAGTTGCTTTTTAAAAATATATTTTAAAGAAGGAACATAAAATAGATTCAAAAGCCATCCTCATATTTAAGTTTTTAACTTACATTTTTATAAATTAAACTAGTTTTATGGCAGAGCATCTCCAGACATTACACCATGGATTCTCCACTTTTCTGGAACTAAATATCAAGATCTGTGCATGGGATTAACCGGACAAGAGGCCAATTCCAGAGGGGACAAAACATTTTCATTCTATTATGCTTTAAAAAAAGGTCCTCACTATAGCATAATTCCACATAGTAGTAAAACATACATGTTATCTCCCAGCCATAAAAAGCAGGAAGGGAGACTGGTGTTGAGGATGACGCACAGCTGCATCACCCTTGGGGGAATGCTGAATAAGATTTTTCATAAGAGAAGTGAGCTTACTGCATCAATCCATTTGAAATTTGCTCCTCCAAGCCTTTCTAGCCAGTTATTCCAAGCATGGGGACTGTTAACGTGTCTGTCCTTTGAGTGAGGTGTGAGAAGTGGTAAGACAACACTCTGTCTTACCCTAAAAGATACCCTATGTCACTTGGCTAAACAATGACACAGGAGGGATGTGATAAGAGTCTACAAATATTTGAAAGGTGTAAAACACCAAGGAGGAATAGGAATAGAAGCAGAAGCAATTGGATGAAATTGAGAATGGAAAATTTCAGATGGACTATCAGTAAAGACCTTTCTCAGATCTATTACTGAGGAACAGTCTCGAGGGAGTTCTAAGCGCCACTGTTTCGCACATTTAAAACTAAGTACAAACATTTTGTAGGATGAGAGGCTATATGACCCAAAACGTCTTTTTCATCTCAAATTTCTACTATTGGTATGTCCTGGAGGCAGAGATCAAAGTTGCTAGGAGGCATTCAGCTAAATTCGTGGAAGACCTCTTGTTAGATCATTCATGAAATCAAATCAAGTCAACATTATGAGAAAGAAGCAAAACTGAAAATTAAATTTACAGTCATGAAAGGATTTAAAAAGAACTACAACAACCTAGACTACAAAGAATTTAGCCTCTTATGAATAGAGAATTGGCCACGGCTTGCCCAAGAAATAGAGCACGCTGTCTGAATTTTTCCAGAAGTTGAAGGATGGTGCATAAAACAAATGACATCAACATGATTTTCATCAGTTTTGCCTGGTAACCACTCGCTTAGTCTGAAGTCAAGGTGATGCACCAAATAATGAAAATGGCAAGAATGCACACTTTAAACACATTCACACAAATATACAACTGATGCTCAAACATAAGGAAACAAGCTGTATCTGATTATATTTTAAGCTTCAACATCTGACAAAAGTGAATACTCTAGAGTTCCATTATGACAGATGCGTTGATTGCTTACCAGCCAGCCAACACGTTTCATGATCAACTGTACAATTTATCGCAACTAGGAAGTTATTAATTCAGTTAAACTACACAATACTAACCAAAATAACAGAATAATGCATGCAAATGCAAACCACACAGCAAAAGAAGTTATTTACCAATGCTGTTCTTTGACTGTTGCCCTGGCAGTGAATACATGGAAACCTCTTTCAGAAGGCATCTCTGCTGGGTAGGTGCATGAGCAACCAAACATTGAATCATACATCAGATACCCAGATCTATATAAAGGAATGTGCTCCTCCACAACCGCCTCAGTTCCTTCTCCTGAACTGTTAAATTCTCATGACATGTATGTCTACATAGTATTTTGGAGCCTGTGGGAGCAAGACTCCGAGCCTCAGTTGATGGACTCAGGCCGGTGGGAAAATAGCTCGATAGACAGCACTTTGAAGTTGTGGCTCAGGATGGAGCTTGGACTCTGAAGCCTATACAGCCTTCTGAGGGGGATCTTATGCCTGCAAGAATTGGCAGTCTAGCTAAGATGCCACATAGTTCTGTGCACCTCATATTCTACTGAGGAAGACCCTATTTAGATCTAAGTTTTCCCGGACTAGAGCTGGTCACAAAATGGACTTCCCCATCCTGTGAAAAATTGAGACTTTGGAAAAAAAAATTCATTCTGAATTAGGATAAAAAGCCAAAATTTAAACATTTTTACATACATGAAATCAAGAAAAAAGTTTTGGTTCAATCAGAATGTTTCCTTCAATAAATCTGAAACATTTCATTCATAATTCATTCATTCACAATTTTTTTTATAGAAAATAAATTTTGAAGTAAAAAAAATTGAAACGTTTTCTTCTGAAAATGTCAAAATAGAACACTGACATTTAGAGAGAAAAAATATCAAAATTTCCCCCCAAACGGAACGTTCATATATGATTTTGTGAAAAATTTCAATTTTGTCAATATGGCATTTTTCTGATGGAAAAACTATTTCACTGAAGATTTTCTGACTTTCTCCCAGACATCTTTCCCATAAGCGACAAAGAGCCTGTCTTCTCTAAATAGAAAAACATTCTTTTATCATCTGAATTGTGCAAATTACCTGCCTAGGATGGGAATAGGTCTGGGAAAGACAGGGAGGGGCATATACCAGCTAAGGTGGAAATCCAATACCACTTTAGGAATAACACTTGGGTGGGGTATCATGATCACTTTTTCTCTGTGGATCACAATAGAAAGTGGCATAGTTATTAAGGTCTGTAGTTGACTTATTTTCCAAGAAGAGGCTATGGCAATTAGAAAAGCAGCCTTTACAAGACTCACTCTAGGGAAATTTCCCTGAGAGGTTCGAAGGAAAGGCATATATTGGTTTCATAAAGTTCCTTGGTAGAGGCTGAATGCATTGATCAGGACTTAAAAAATAAAAAATCCAGCAACAGTGGATTGAAAAATGTAAGTCTGCTTCAACACATTGATAGTAAGCAGAGGGGATGTTAGGTGTGCTTCGAGAGGCTACACACAGGTCTAAGCACTTTATACAGAAGACAGGCCAGAATTACAGCAAATTTTAGACTAAGATGGAATCAAATCTTTATTAGGCAACATTTTCAATCTTGGATGTGATTTTTGCCTTGATTGGGTTAGAACTGTCTGCATTTTGTCATCAGGAGTGGTCAGTAGTGGATGGGATATTATCCTCTGTGTTGCAAGCTGCCCATTTTAAGGCTGATAATCTTGAGGGAGAGGCAATAAGGATCAGCTCTAGGAAACAGTAACAATGTTGGTGCGGATTTAGGGGGGCTACAAGGCTATGTCTACACTACCACAGTAAGTCGACCCAAGTTACACGACTCCAGTTACTTGAATAATATAGCTGGAGTCGACGTAGCTTAGGTCAACTTACTGCAGTGTCTACACCGTGTTGGGTTGATGGGATAGTGTCTCTCGTTGACTTACCTTACTCTTCTCGTTCGGCGTGGAGTACTGGGGTCAACTGGAGAGCAATCTGTGGTTGATTTGGTGGGTCTTCACCAGACCCACTAAATCGATTCCTGGTGCATCTATCTCCAGAGCATCGATACAGCGGTAGTGTAGACACAGACAAAGCAAATCTCATCCTTGGGCTATCTGATCTTCCAAGACGACTCTGAGAAACAGATATTTTGAAGGAAGGCACACAAGAGCTATGAACACCATCTCATTAGGAACGTGTCTGATAGGGATTTCTAGACTCTTCCAGCTCTGGTACAATACAAGAGGTATTTTGTGTTTGCTCTGGAAGTGAAGAGGTTGATATCTGGGTGGTCCCATTCTGGAAGAGGACATTGGTTAGTTTGTTTTAGAGACCACTCTTGCCAGATTTATGTCTGTCTGCTTAGCAAGTCTCCGCCTATGTGTTTTCTTCTCTTGCTAGGTGGAGAACTGAATAGATATGATGTTTTATGTATCACAGCTACAGCTTCCTCACCTCCAAGGAGAGGCTCAGTGATTGCACACTTCTGTTTACATTGCCTGTCAGGACGTGTAATACTTTGATGTTGCAGTGATGGGACGAAAGACCTTCAGGGCACAGCATACGGCCCTGAGTTATCGGATGTTTACACAGAGCGTCAACTGCCATGTGTTTCAGTGGCCAAGTACTTTGAGTTTTTGGTAATGTGCACCCCAGCCTAGACTAGACTAGACCAGCCTAGACTAGACTCATTAGTGATCCCTCAGAGTTTGAGGATGATTATTAACCTTAAGATTCTGTCATGGGTATTTTTAGTAAAAGACAGGTACAGGTCATGGGTAATAAACAAAAATTCACAGAAGCCTGCAACCCATCCCTGTCTTTTACTAAAAATACTCTGGGGGACAAGGGGGAAACAAAGAGTTCTGCCCGGGTTTGCACCTGCTCCAGCCCCATCACTGCTCCAGCCCTAGCGGGGGCTGACCCAACTCAGGCTAGCTGCCACTCCGCTGACAGCTTCAGCAGCCCAGGGGACTGAAAGTTGCTCCAGTCCTGCCTGAGAAGTCCCAGAAAGTCACGGAATCTGTGACCCCATGACAGAATCGTATCCTTAACGACTGCCTTCCATAAATGATAGCCAGTTATCACTGGTGGATTCACAGGTGGCTAATGAGATGGACCTAGGATCCACAGATCCTGTAACAATTGGGGCAGACATTTCCCAATGGATGGGGCAGATCTGGACTGTGGAGTCGGGCTGCAGTGCATTCTTTCCTCCTTTCCCATTTCCTGTTGTCTTTGATGGATCTCAAAATACTGGGGTCCTTGTCACAAGGTCCTTTTCCATATTGGTCGGTCTAGGGCTTGGGTTTTCCGTGAGTTTATGTCAATACTGCACTTCTTCATGTTGGCTCTGAGGACACCTTTGCTTTTTTTGCCCACCCCTCGTCTGTTGGCGATGGTCCAATTATGAGAACATGACCTGCTTTGGGAGATGATTTTCCGGCATTCAAAGAACATGACCAGCCCAATGGAGTTGGTGGTAGGTGATCATAGATTCAATGCTGGAGGTTTTGGCTTGGGAAAGAACACTAATGTTGGTGCATTGGTCATCCCACTTGATTCAGAAGTTCTTCTGGAGGCACCATTGATAGTATTGTTGAAGAATCTTGAAGTGTCTACTGTACGTGACCCAGGTTTCGGCACCATATGGTGCATTGTAGGTGGTGTTGAATTTCCTCACCAATGTCAGCTCTCTGTAACAGTTAGCTACCAAGGTAAAGGAAGTGATTGACATTATTCCTGGGGGAATTCTGTGCCATTGTGCGCATGCAGAATTCATATGCTCTGCTGATTTTTTTTTCTCCACAGAAAATACATTTTGTCAGAAAGGCGCTGCAGTTATGTCTTTTGCCCACCAGGGGCTGCTGTGGCACCAGAACAGCAGCCGCTGGCTCACCACTCACTGGCCACAGCAGTTAGCAGCCAGTAGGGAGGAGGAGGAGAGGTTGTGTTCCTCAAAGCTCCCTGCCTGGGGGGCCAGATGAGGAGGCAAGAGAATATGGGGGCACAGACTGAGCGGGACACACGGGGCTACTCGGGGGTCCACCCAAACGGAATGGGGTTCAGAAGGGCTCGTGGCAGGACAGACTGGAGCAGGGGATGAATGGGAGTCGGGGTGCAGGGCCACATGGGGATGGGGGCTGGAGGGGCAGGGCCACACAGGGACAGGGAGGACGCATGGCTGAATGGGGGCGCAGCGCCACATGGGAACAGGGACAGATGTGTTTGACTGGTTGGGAGAGGCTAGGCTCAGCCAGGGTCTGATGGGAAGGCTCCCCAGCTCCCTAACAATCCCTTTTCCCCTCATCCCCATTCACACAAAAAAATTGTTCCATGCTTCTCCCATCCACACCCAATGCCTCTTCAGGTTCACTCTCAAGGCTCCTTCCCCAGCAATTACTTCCCTCTTTCTCAGCTCCTCCATTATCCAGCTCCCCTAAGCCTTTGCACTGCTCCTGAGGAGTGCAGGAAATACATTTCTATATTGTAGGTTAAATAAATTATTACTCAAAGTTCTGTATTAATATGCCTCGTAAGAAATCTTTTGTCAAAAAACACTTCCTGAATCTTTTTTGTTGTCTGTATTATTACATTTTGAATCATTCCCCCAAATTTCAAGGTCATTATTCCATACATGTATCTTTGATGTCTCAGACTCACGAATACAGTCTTACTTGCTCCTGTTACTGCCTTGGATTTCCATTGATGTTCTCTTTGCTGTACTCTTTGGAATGATATCCACTGAATTACCACGTGAATGGGAAAGACCTTGAAAAGCCGAAGCCCTTAGAAAAGTGTTCTGTTTTGGCCATGTAAGTTTTCCTGTGTTGTATGGCACTATAACATTTACTAGACGAGACTGTCACAAGATAAAAATTAAATTATTTTACATAAATCTCACCTGTTAAACTATTAGGATACGGACTTGGCACAGCTGAAAACGAGGAAGAGGCTCCTCCAAAGGGTGTCATCCCTGAAGGTCCTCCAAATGGAGTCATGGAATGACTGTTAAAGTTAACTGATGGTCCCTTTATCGCAGGCGACTGTGTTGCTTGAGAATCTGATCCATAATGGCTGATGTGGGAACTAACAAGTTCTGGAGGGTTATCAGTTCTATATTTCATAGCTGGACCTTTGTCCTCTTTGCTTTTAATGCACCCCATAGTTGCTTCTGTAGAGGGAAAAAAATCATCTCACCGTTGATATACAGTTAATGTAGAAAACATGATAAAGGCTTATTATAAATACTGATTAAGTACTGCTTAAAAATTAAAAAGAAGGTGGTAGTTGGTTTTACAGCCACAAAAACTGCTGAAATTTCAATAGATAAAGGCTGGAGAAAATAGTTAAGTTAGCTTGCTAGCATACCTGGATTACAAATACTAATGAAAAAAGTTTTCTGGATGGAAATCTGTAGAATTCATAGAATCGACAGAAACGTATTTTTCCCCCGAAGTACTACAGTACTTTTCCCCCTGACAGCCCTTAACAAGAACAGTATTTGGATATTCATCATTATGATTCCTCCCTGGGCTGTAAATTCTAAGGAGACAGAAAAAGTAGGAAGATGGGTAATGGAAAGATTAGAGCAGCGGGAAGACTTTTATATGAGAAGAGACTGAACTTAAACCTCCATTCCGGAGGTGTTCATAACTTCTGGAGGTTCTACTGTGTGCTAGCTGGAGCACTGATCTGACATGACAATTCCAGAGATAAGAATTCTGTCTTAACTTCAGAAGTGGAAGTCTCCTTTAACATGAAATAATTAGCAGTCCACATCACTGAGAAATTTAGAGAAAATGACTGAAACCAGTAACAAATTGGAAGCATTTAATAAAAAAAAATAGTCTCTTTTAATTGACATCTATGGTTAATATTGCATGAATCTTTCTTCCATAGCTGGTCAAATAAGTATGAACACTGGAGTTCTTCCTTCAAGTAATTAATTGTCCACATTTTTTCTTTGCAATCATCACTGATCTCTTCAATCATTAGATATTTGCATCTGGAACAAACTTAAGTTCTAATCATTGCCCCAATACATCTACTTTCAAATATTTTTTTTCAGGTTGTGTGTCTTATTTCTCTTTTCATCTGGTCATTAAAATATTAAAGACACTTTTCATTTTCTTAAAAATGAACTCTCAGGCCCTGAAATGGACCATGAACACATGGCAGAGGAAGCACACAAAACTATGTTCTCATTTCAATGCACATAATTCCTATACATCAATATAAGAATATTCACCATATCACTTGGTCTCTAACATCTGTGGTACTGTACTAGCTAAGAGAAAGAAAGATCCAAACTAGCTGAATTGTTGCAGCCTGCAAGTATTGTTTAAAAATTCTGCAGGGATGAACAAAACAAAAATATCATGGAAATGCCAGAATTTGTCCAAGGAGGTTTTTTTTTTTAATTAATTATAGTTAACCCATATCTGTTGGGAATGTCTAAATGTTATTAGAACAACCAAGTAAAGGATCACATAAATGCATGATTTCAAGAGAAGTTAATGGAGTTTAGCTGTTTAAAAACACCTTACAAAAGAAATCCTGTAATATAGATCTGGAAGGCTCCTAATAGGTAACTCCTAATTAAGTTTAATCCAACGATAAACACCTATTTATAACCTCTCTACTACATCTGGAAAATTGAATCCAGTAGGATATGAACCACCATATTTTGTCTGTCTGGATTCTCAGTGTGGTTTGTTGCCTAATCCTGAGGCCTACCCCTTTTAGTAGACAATTTCCATTGCAAATTTTTTTTAAAGTGTACAGTATGAACCGTACTGCCTTTGTGAAAGTGTGTTTTCCTAGCAGTACTTAATAAAATGATGTATTATCTGGCTTGTAGTTATAAAGTCATACAAAGTCAGAGCTTCAAGAAGACAAATACATGAGCATTATTTATTAAAACAAAAATAATGTGGATTAAATAAAGACGGCAGAAGGAAAAGCTGCTGCATCCTCAAAACATACTGTGCCACTAAATATCTGTCAGAGATATTCTGTCAAGTTTTGTACTCTATCTTTAACATCTGTCTAACAAGCTAATGAGACTTCAGGATTTAAAAAAAAAAAAAAGTTTGCTTGACCTAGTAAAACCTGCTGGATTCTCTCCAGAGCACTTGTACATTTGGCCGAATGTACAGTGTAAATGTTAATGTATGTTGTAGTGATTATAAATAGTTTCTGTGACAAGCCTCATTAATTAAAATAGTGGCTAGTAGTGAAAAGTACCATCATGTTATATTTGAACAGACTGCAGAAAGATACTTATTGAGGATTTGAATTCATATTCAAGGAATGCAGTAGATCCCCCTGCCTTTTGGTTCACTGTTAAGGTAATCTTCTTTCTGAGGTTTAAGAGATTAACAATAGATATTCAATTGGCACTTCAAGGAAAAGCCACATTCAGACACAAACAGCCAAAGAAAATCCAAGAGCTCTACTTTAAAAATCACATACTCCCCCCTTTAAAAACACAAAACAGAAAATGACAAAAGCCCATGTTTTAAAAAAATAAAAACATACATGAAGACTTTCTATAACGTATTGTGGGGGGAAGGAGGGTTAGGGAAGTTGGAGAGAGAAACAATAGGCTTTTTTGAGTGTTTAGCTTTGTAATGCATTACTAGAGAAAGGAAAAATCCTAAACAGCTGGTCTGTAATGTGGGGATTGGTTATTATAGTACAGTATGTGTTACTAAAAATGTATATAACCAGAGCAGCTTCCAACAAGTATTTAACACTTCTTTTCCGCTGGTGTTACCAGAGACAATACAAAATAGTTATACGAACGATGTGTTTCCCAGTTAATTTATGCCACCCCTTCCAGGGGCAATAAGACCAAGGTAATTTTACAGACGAGATAAACAGACATGTAGAAGGAGAACAAGATCTTTTGAAGATCTTTATAACTGTATAAATAAAAACTTGGCCCAAGTTATGTTTATACGCGAAACCAACATCGTTCACTAGGCTTCACAGAAATCTAACTAAGGATAAAGGCTTGACAGACTCCCAACACTTGGCTCCTTGGAGATAAGAGATGAATACCTGCGATCCCATGGTACTGAATTGGGAATCAAGTGCCAGTTTTCCAGGAAACTATGTTCTGAAGGAAATGGACTAAAAACGTAGATGTCCAATTCTGCTCTCTAACTGGAAAGGGGCCCCAATTAGAATGTTGTCCAAAAAAAAAAAAAAAAGAGAAACTGGCTGTGGGGAGGAAAGAGATTTTCAGGTAAGCCTCCCTGAGGGCCAACAGAAGAAAAACTGTTCTAGGAGACAGTTGACAAATGAGATTTTTGAGTTTCCATATTGAATTTTGCCCTTTTGACTGATCCGTCCAAATGGTTCAGGTCAAAGATAGTTTTGATGCTTTGCAAATACTTGGGAACTTGACGGTGGAAGATGGAGTATCCCTCGGTCTCTGTCCAAAGTGGAGTAGTTTGAGAGGCTAAAAATATAAAGGCTATTTCTCCATCTTCTATTTTCTGACTTCTGCTTTGTTAGATTACAAAACGTTGGGCCAGGGGAAAACCAATTTATCTGTAGGTCTGAGTGATTGATGCTATTGCATAGACCTTGCTGATTATCTCTGTCACCTACCTGTTCAAAGAAGGTGTGATTTCCTAGTTTGAAGAACTGATGAGAGCCACCATATCTCCAGGAATGCACTGGGACAAGAAGCACTCCAAGTTTTTGTGACAGAACGTCTGTACAACTAGTCTGTTTTTCCCATTTCAAATTTTCTGTGTGGTCTGAGTCTTGTCTACAGAATCTAGTAGGGAAGGAGTCACAAAAGGAATGCCTGCTTTTTTATTGTTTTTCATTCCTTCTTCCAATAGTAGAATCTTCCTGAAAATATCTTTTGTTTCAAGAACTGCTTTTCCATTGGTTTGCTAAAACACTTGGCTCCCAGAGTGCTTCAAAAGAGGCCATATTTGATTTAAGGCTTGTACCAAAAGTATCTTGGGAAGGGCTCATTTTTACATCTTTAGGACTGATGGATAAAACTTCTGACTGAATCATTTAAGGCCAATATGGCCAGAGCAAAGCAGGCTGAAAAGCCCTCAGAACAGCTGTTTCAATTTTTCCATAAGGTGGATTCTACCCTGCAGTCTGTGAGGTTTTTTGGGCAAAAAGTCATCTTTGGTTTCCAAGGCTTCAGAGAATTAGTGAGCATTCAGTGGGCTGGCAACTGCTGTATGCATGTTGGAAAGAGTAATGAAAGCAGATTTTTTTTTTCAATTAATGTGGGTGCCACACTGAATTTTTATAATGTGAGAACCTCTTAAGTTTGGTTCACTTGTGCCTGCTCTGATTTGATAACATTCTTCTCCTTAGGATCAAGGAGAATGCAGAGTTCCCTCTTAGAAGCCATACCAAAAAAGAATTTTGTTGTTGAATTTCTTACTTTCCTCCTGATTCATCATACACTCGGATATCTCTTATGGAGTGTGATTCTGAAGCGGTCCAGAGGGAAGCCTTTTTTTGGGTCTCTTTCTTTCCTCTTTCTTTGTTACAGTCTGAGCACTTACCATTCTCTGATGACAAGTGTGAAGAGAACTTTTGTTTATACATTTCTCTTTTTCAGAGTGCCTAGAACTCCTCTCTCCCCATCTTAATAACAGACTGGCTCTATGGAGTCAATACTTAATTCTCTCTCTTTTTTATGGACACGAAGTTCCAAATTAGTGTTAAAGGAAAAAGTCTTGCTATTAAAATTCTGTGTGATTATAAAAATAGAATATTTTTTACAATTCAAAATGTCACTAATATTCTGCAGGTTAGTTCAGTGGATTTTCAAGCTTTAAGCTTGAAGCTTCTGATTGTTTAAGTAAACAAGTAACCTGAATGTGTCTGAGTGGAGACTCCTTGCTTACTGTACTGGGCAAACACAGTGGAACAAAAGGTGGTTTCAGATGGTAGTAGTTAAAACTGATTTAATAAGGTAGGAGGGTGGTGCAGATTAAAAGAATGAGGGAAATCAAAGATCCCCGCTAAGAATGGCTAAAAACCTATGCTCCTAATCCTGGTTAAAAGGAAGAAATGCTCTATTATAACATTCTACTAATTCCATCTAAAGGGTATGTGTTTGGATATGAAAGGTATTGCCTTTGCTATAAAACGTGAAGAACATGCACATAAGAAATGCAT